CCAGGCACCTGTGGGAGAGCAGTTCAGGTAGAATAACGGAGTTATAAAAGAAGAGTTAATGGCAGAAGAGACAGGGAAAGAATAGTGGCCACACTGAAGGCTCCTGGCCTCCCCCCTGGGTTAGGGACACCTGGGGAACTTCTAGTCGGTGTGTCCAAGATCTCACTCAGATCAGCACTAGGGAATCACTGGTGTGGAATACTTTCTCAGGATGTGTGGAGTTAAGAAAAATAGAAAATAAAGAGTGGAAATCAAATAGAAATGTGATAGATTGAACTGAATGAGTGTGGTGCTGGGTGAGGACTGTCGCCAACAGCATAAAAAGGAGACCTGGAGAGGAAGAGGGGTCATTGTGGGGTCTCCTGGAGGAGCTTGTTGAGCTTCTTTCCTGATATGAACTTGGCTGTTCTCATCAGAGGAGGAGCTTGTCCCTGAGTGGCTGCGGTTCACTTTGTGGGAGCTCTGGTCCTTACTTTGAGCATCCCTTCCTGGATCTGGAGGGGAAGATACGTGCTGTTCAATCTCCAGGGGAAGCTTGTCACGCTGGCTTCCTGATATGGACTTGGCTGTTCTCATCGTCAGAGGAGCTTGGGACCTCATTGTCACTGAGGATGGCTGTGGTTCTTCTTTGGGGAGCCGTGGTCCTTACTTTTGAGTGTTGCTTTTTGGTTCAGTGCAGAACCCTCAACCTACTGGTAGATTTTTCGCCCCACTGGCAGAGACTTTCTATCTTCCACTGCTGACTGTTGGGCCTTCCCAGTGCAGATCCACGAAACTTGCATGAGACGTTGTGGGCTTTAAGGCTCCAGCTGGATATGGGGGGGGGGGCATTGTTATGGGCTCTAGGTCTTCAGCTGGACTCATGCAAGACAGTGTGTTGGGATCCAGGCCCTCAGCTGGATTTTTTGGGATCTTTAGTGTAGGGACAGATTTCCTGCCTGTTTCATGCTTGGTCTTTTTTTTTTTTTTTTTTTTTTTTTTTTGGCACCAGGGATCGAACTCACGACCACGTGCTTGCCAGGCAGGTGCTTATTCCGCTGAGCTAACTCCTGGGCCCTCGTGCTTGATTCTTTAGGTGACTATTGTAAAATAATTCCATAAACCATGTGTCCTATATTAAATTGTTCTCCTTATGAGCATGGACTAAAAGAAGCTGCCACAGGGTTGAAGAAGCTGGGTTGAGGGGTTTCCTTTAGTATCGGTGCTGTGCAGCACAGACTGGAGCTGAAGGAAGTAGGTTAGGTTGAAGACATAAGAGAAAAGAGGGTCACAGGTATTCTTTTCCTTGTTTGATGCCCGTAAGACTGATCCAGCAGAGAAGGGGAAACTGGCAGTACCATGGGTAACAGGAGAAACCGATGGACTGACATTCTTGAGAAAGCCTGTTCACCTAGAGAATATTCTAATCACATGGCTCACTTTCTAGCCTCCTTCAGGCCTTCTGAACATCGCTGAAGCCTTCCTGGCCCCTGACCATGGTTTGAAATAGCAAGGCCACCTCGACCCTGCACATTCTCTACCCACTCTGGCTGGGTTTTTTTTTTTTTTTTTTTTTTTTTCTGTACTGAGGATTGAGCTCACAACCTTGTGCTTGCCAGGTAGGTGCTTGTGCCACTGAGTAAATCCCCAGCATCCTGATGACTTTCATCCTCCCCACATCACTGATCTCCACCTAATGCACAGCCTTTTACCCACTGACCTTTCTCTCTGTTTTACCTATTTCATTCACTGCTATGTCCCCGGGACTCAAGTTAGAGTATCTTTGACACTCAATCATCATTTAACTATTCAATGAGCAGAGTCCAAGGAGGAAGCAGAGATCAGTTCAAGAGCGCAAGTGTAGAGTCACCCTGAAAAGGAGATGTAATACATTCTCCTCTTGGGGAAGAAAGGATGTTGGCTGGCTTTGGATATCTAGGCAGTTGTGACAGTCGAGCCAGTACATGCAGCTTGCCACGTGCCATGCCCAGGTCTGTGCAGTTCACCCCTGTTACCTGGCAGCCTCACAACAGCCTGTTGCTAGGTTCTATCATCCCCGTCACAGAGACGAGGAAACTAAAGTGGAGGGAGATAAAGTAGCATGTCCAAGGGCATTTGCAAGTCAGTGGCAGACCTGGGATAAAAACAAGATGGTCTGATTTTAGGGCACATCACCTCCACCTCCACGCTCTACTACCTCTTGAAGGTGCTTTGGTGAGAGGGTTGGAGCTGTAGTGGGACACACATATTGAGAAGAGATCTGGAATAGCAACCGAGAGCTTACTTAGCACAGGTCCATCTGGGAGAAAATAAAAGGCTTTATTGAGTAGTGCAGAAGGCTGGACACAACCAGATGACATGGTCCAGTGGTGGGCTCCATCCACTGGGCAGGTCACCATAAAACAGTAACACAGTTAAGCCAAGTTTTCGGGTTGGTGGAATGGACAGAGTGGTCAAGCGAGCAAGGTAAAATGCAAGCGAGCTTGAAATAGCGTAATGAGGAACCCAGCAGCAAGTTTATCAACTTTGTGTCTCAGTGATCCAGGAAAAGCAGGTCATGGTATTGAGCAAGGGAAGACTGGAGGAATATAGTACGGTAGGCGTGAAAGCGACACGACTGGAGAGGGAGCTCAGTGTTCATCTTAGGAAATGGGGCGAGCGAGCTGTCCAGAGGGACTAGGGCCATCTGAGGCAGCACTGAGTCCCTGTGGCTGACCTCGATTCCTCCTTTTTTCACCAACCCCCACTGTCTGTGTCAATGCTTCAAATTCCCACAAGCCAAGGGGAAGCTCTTCCTTCTGTAACTGATGGTAAAGCCAGAAGGGAAATAAACCTGTCCTTTGCATCCAGTCCTCAAGAAGAGCTTTCGGTTCCTTCCCTAGAGCTCACTTAAGAGACCAAGAACTCTCAGCAGGCGCCCAAGCTGCAAAGAAAGACAGGATCACTGGACGAGGGAGCGGCTAGTAGTTGGGTAAGTCCATATAAATGAGCCTTGGCTGGGACTTTTGTAAGGTAACAACTAATCTATATAAACCAAGTATCTTAGCTTTCTAATAATCCATCCAAATCAAATGCTTTTACGTGTGTTCTCCTAGCGTGTCACAGCTACTGCTACTGGCAAATTCTGACATCGGCACCCAGCAGTGCTTTTTGTGATAGGGTTGTGTTCCAACAGCAAAAGGTAAGGTGAGAATGTGCTATATAGAAAATGCATTTAATTCACAAACTCTACTGAACACCTTCACTCAGCAACATGGCAGACTGTAGCTGCCTGTTGTTTACCCTCATGCTGGTCCAGCTTCCTGGGACTGTGGCTCCCTGCATGTGTTCATCTCATGAGAGGATACCAAGCTGCATACTGCAAGCCTAGGAAAATCTGAAAGCTAAAATCTGAAGTACGGTTTCTACTGAATGTGTATCACTCTTGTTAGCATTGCAAAGTTTAAAAATGTTAGGGAGAAAGAAGCATTGTTTAATCAGAGCCATTTGTGCTTGTTACTCTGTGATTGTCTACTGAATTCGAATTCTTCATCGTTATTACCCCTGGGGGCAGGAAAAACAATCCTTCTAGCTGCAGCAAGAACAGAGGACACACTGTCTCCAAGAGGAATGAAAAGTAGCCGAAAATAGTATCAAAGTGAGTACTATTCATCCTTAAACGGGATGAAGTTCTGATGCAAGCCACAGTATGGATGAACCTAAACACGCACCACACTTACGGGACAAACGCAGCACGATTCCACTTACATGGGGAAGCTGGGATGGTCAAGCTCATGGACAGGAAGTGGAACGGTGGTTACCAGAGCCAGGACAGTGGGACCAGAGGGTGGGAGTTGGTGCTCTGAGGGCACAGAGCTTCAGTTTGGGATAAAAAAAGTTCTGAAATGGATCATGGTGATGGTCCCTGAATTTTACACTTAGAAGTGGTTAAAATGATAATATTCATGTTTTGAATATTGTACCACAAAGTTATAAAAAAGGAATGTGACAAGTGGAAGATTACAGGATTGCTACAATCTACTTCTCAACTAGGCTTCCAGGATGATGGAGGCACAGATAAATCTGTAAAAGAAGACAGGATGACCAGGCTGCAGAAGTGACCCGCACATCCTGAGTTACAGCACAAAGTGCATGTTAGGATTCTGGGTTACCCTGCTAGTGATGGCACACAGGGACTGCAGTGATTCCCAGGGTGGTGAGGATGTGTTTCTATCAATTGCCAATGCTCCTTTTATGCACGTACACTGGGGTCAAGTCTTGCCTGATCCTTTGTAGCCAGGTCCTACAAGTTATTTATGACATAGTTACTAAGTGCAGGTCAAAGCTTGATTTGGTTTCCATGAATGAAGAACAGATTTTTTTGTTTTTTTGGCAGTACCTAGGATTAAACCCAAACCTCCTAGTGCTAGGCAAGAGCTCTACCACTGAGCTACATCGCCAGTCCCCGGACGTCCTCCTGAAACAGCTCTGACTGGAATGAAATGACATTAAAGACACCGAAACAAAGGTAAGCCACCATTCTTAATACACACAGGGCAGAAAAAGGCCTGAAAAGTCTCCCTGAATGTTACAAGTGATTTGCTCTAGTCTACATTCTTGGTTAGCTGAACATTATTTTCACGGAAGGCAGGAGAAACTCAGTTTTCCCTTTTTATTCTGAGTCAGTGATGGCGAACTTTCAGAGTTTTCTGTGACAACAAAGTGGCACAGATTCACCACCTCTGTTCTAGTCATCTTGGAGACTGGCATTTTGCCTATTGAGTTCTTCAACTCTTAGAAGGCTATAATAAGGGATAAGCAAATTACTTTATAGCTCAGAGGGACACTGAACTTATTTGGAATAAAAATACACTAGAAAAAATGGCTATTTGTTTCTTTTAGTGATTTTTTTTAAAAAATGCCTCCTCTTGAGAATAAATTCACTATGCAGGAGGAAATCTAAGGGAAGACATTAAGAGTCTCACAGATTTTCCCTGATAATTTTGCTAATCTAGTATTTGACAAGCAAGCTGATAGATACATTTAATTACTCAGGAAATTTTATTATCTGGGTTTTATAAATCTGCCACCTATAGACCAGTATCATTTTAACATATGACACATTGGGAACAGTCAAAAATCATATCTTGCATTTATGATTTAACAACTTATGTTTAAAAATTAAGACTTGTGCTTATGTAACTATGATGTTACAGGAAATTAGAAACCAAAAAGCTTGATATTTATAAAAGCGCATTTCAGGAAAGGAGTTAAAGAAAGAAGCCCTTTCCAGCTCTTTTGTAAACTGAGGAACATACAATTAAAGAGAAATAAATTTCTTCCAAATTATGTCACTCCAGATTTTGTCAAAGCAAACTATTCGGCAGACTTGAGACTTTTAGCTTCCAAAATTTCAAATGGATTGGTTTTTCAGAATGATTATTCCAAACGATTCTATGAAACCATCCAGTGATAAAAAGCTAAATTGTTGACATTTTTCTGGATTTTATGGATTAACGCAGTATTCCAGTGCTCACCACCCTGGGCAGAGGGGACCCACTCACTTCCATCATCCAAGTATTGCATAAATACAGTTAGAATAAGAAGTTTCGGTGACGTTCAATACTGTTGACTCCACATAGGGATTAATGCTAAGGACATGACTGTCTGCATTTCAGGTAGAAAGTGTGTTTTTCAGCCGCGGCGGCATCTTCACAGAGTCTTCAGTCTGTCTTTGTCTTGCTCTTTCTGACTGCAAAGTGCAAAGGATTCCTGCACAAACTGCCGGCACATCGGGCACTGCTGAAAGTACCCAACGCAGCCGTTGCACAGGCACGCGTGCCGGCAGGGCAGCAGTACCCAGTTCACGCTCCCGTTCTGGCACACGACGCAGTCCTTGCTGCTCTCCTCCAAGGGCTCCGTCTCGCCTTCGCACAGCCCGGCCTTCTCCAGCCAAGTGCGCTCCGCACGCTGCTCTTCCGGCGAGGGATGGCTGGAGGGGGTGGGGTTATTATTGGCAGACATAAAAAGTTGCTGGGGAAAAAAGTGTGAAAGATGTATTTATAAACATATAGATATAGGATAGTTAAGACAGTTATACTACTAATTTCTCTTAGTTCATTGAAAAGTCTGTGCTAATATTGGACAATTAAATGCCTATAACTTGTACCCTGAGTAATCTAAAGATAACAGTATATTCTTCTGATATTCTTCTACTATCTTGTTTTGAAATTTTATTTTATCTTTTTTCTCTTGAAAATAAAATTTTAAAAAATTATAAGTAACAATTACTCTTTAAGTCTGGAGGTCATAAGAGCTACTTAAAATGTATGAGCTAGCAAGTCCAAGAGCAAAGAATAGTTAACTTCTATAATAACTGAAAAGTATTACACCTAGTCTTTGAAATAGTATGAACAGTCAGTCTTTGAAACTCTGTAAATAAGGAACCGAGATAAGGTATAACTTACCTTAAGATCATGAAATTGACCCTGAGCCAGGAGTAAATATTGATATAATATTCTGCAGGAAAGTTTGTAAGTCTTATCAGGAATATGAATTACTGAGACCATGGAAATCTAAAATAAAAAATTGAACACTAGTCAGTACTTAACCTTCTTATATTATTTCACAAACATTAACAATGTTTCTTCAATAAAAATGAGACCAATGAAATTGGAAATGCTTATGGTTTATATGAAATCTTAGAAAAAATTTAAAAACCTAAGCACCACAAAGAAAATGAATGTGAACACATTCTGCAAAGATAGCCATGTCGTACGAGAAAATAAAAGCAGATATACACTTCAAACAGTCAAAGTCTGTGAAAGGCAGCTGACTCTTACGGACTACCTTCATGTGGTTGTCCATAATTTATTATCATAATATATCCTCTTATGTCAAATTTTTACTTAACCCTCCCCATTATTTTAAGTTGTCAGCATGATTCGTACAATTAGATACACTGTATGCTTCATCGTCACATCGTTTTCAATACCGGAGGTATAAACCATGTAAGGCCTTTAACAGAGCTCTAATAATTTATATATTTTTGTAAACCTGAATCCATGGAAGTGCATTTTTGCAATATTGACTTTGAGGATGACAGCATTTGTATAGAAACAATGAAACTTCTTCAATAAATGAAGAAAAGTCCTTTTGCACATGTGCATTTGTGAACAATAAAATGCCTTGAGAGCTCGGCTCTTTGGAAAAATGCAGGTAGTAGGGCCCACCAAGGCATCTGATCAATCTCATCAAGGGACTGAGGTACTGTTCAGGGTGCTCAGATGAGCACCAATGGAAAGGCAGTACCCATGGTTACCACTGATAGTGCTGTGTCTTTAGACAGTTTGCTCTGTGATCTATCTTTCGATGAATACAGCTTGTGTGCTTGTAACTGCTACACCTGTCAAAAGTCATTCATATACTTCAGTGTTTATGGTTGCAAAAATATGTAAAGGGCTTAAAGATAAGGTTGATAAACTGTTATACTCAAACACTAACAAAGAAAAGAAATCATGATCAAAACACCAAAGAAGTCTGGGATAGTTAAAAGACCAAAATTTTGAATGTTTATTGTAGATGAGGGTGCAGAGGTTCAAGCTAACGGCACAGAAAATCTACTCAGTGAAGTGACAACAAATTCCCCACACCCTGGAAAAGACATGGCATCTAGGTACAGGAGGGAGTCAGAGCCCCAAACAGGCACGGGCTAGGTCAGACTCTAGTTATGGTGTCATGAGTACAGAACAAGGAAAGAATATTGAACCCAGCAGAATTAACTGCAGGCTCTGCGCAGAAACTCTAGGCCAGGAGGCCGTGAAATGATGTACTTCAAAGCCTGAAGGAAAATAACTGCCAGCTGGTGTACTACACCTACCACAGCATTCTTTAAGATGGAAGGAGAAATAAAACTCAATGAAATAAATTCATGACCATGAAGCCAACATTGCAGGATACATTTAAGAGAACCATACACACAGAAGAGGAAGAGTATGTAAGGTTCTGAGTATCAGACAATAACTAAACTTTAGGAAAATGTGAGATACCAGAATCTCTGAGATACAGTCGAAAGAACTTACAGCTGTGAGGGCCTCTATCAAAAATCAGAGCAATCTCAAATAAATAACCCAATAATAATACATCTCAAAGACTTAGGAAAACAAGAACAGGTGGAAATCAAACTTGGCAAAAGAAAGAAAACAAGATAAGAGTGAAAATTAATGGCACAAGATAAAAAAGCTATACAAAGGATCAGTAAAACAAAGAATTGACTCTTTGAAAAGAGAAACAAAACTAACTCAGCTAAATCAAAAGGCAGAGAAGACTCAAATCAATACAGCTTGAATGGGAACATGGAATGCTACAACAGACAGCACTGAAATCCTGGGAAACACTAGGAACTATTTTGAAAGCCTATATTCTAATAAATTGGGGAACTAGAAGGAATCGAAATTTCTAGGCACATATGACCTATCAAAATTGAGCCAACAACATATAAAAAACCTAAACAGATCAGTAAAAAGTGATCATATCAAAGTTGCAATAACAAGTCTTTCAACAAAGAAAAGTCTACGATCAGATGGATTCACTGCTGAATTTTTCTAGACATTTAAGAAAGGGCACCAATGCTCCTCAAACTACTCCATGTGATAGAAAACTCATTCTACAAGACCAGGATCATCCTGATACCAAAACTGGACATGGACAAAACAAGAGAAAACTACAGACCAATATCCATATGCAATAACTCTTAATATAAACTGGATTTTCAACAACAAATTTAAAAGATCACACACATAATCAAGTTGGTTTCATTCCAGGAATACAAAGATGGTTCAATATATGGAAATCAATAAATATAATATACCACAAATAGAACGAAGAGTAAAAGTCACATACTGATCTCAGTTGATATACAGCCTTTGACAACATTCAACATCCTTCCGGGATAAAAGCCCTAAAGAAAACAGGGACTGAAACATCGTATTTCAATGTAACACACTATCTACAACAAACCCACAATCTACATCATACCAAGTGGGAACAACTAAAAGCATTTCCTCTAAAATCAGGAATGAGACAAGGATGCTTATCTACTCTCACTACTCCTACTCAATATAGTACTTGAAACTTTAGCTGGAGTAATTAGACAAGAAGAGAAATAAAAAGGGATACAAATAAGAAAGAAAGAAGTCATCTGCAGATAAGATCTTATACTTAAAAAACCCTAAAGATTCCAGCAAAAGACCTGAGAAGCTGATACATTCAGCAAATTAGCAGAATACAAAATCAACATTGTAAAATTGTGTGGCTTTTCTATACACAAGTAATGAACTCACTGAGAAATCAGGGACAGTTTCACTCACAACAGATTCAGAAAAAATAAGTAAAATATCAAAGAATCAATCTAGGTAACAAACAGTGCTGGGAAAACTGGATATCCAACTCTAAGGAACTGAAAGACCTCTACAGTGAAAATTATAGAACACTGAAGAATAAACTGAAGAACACACTAGAAGATGGAAAGACCTCCCACAATAATGAATCGTAGAACTAATAGTTAAAATGGGCATATTACTGAAAGCAATCTATAGATTCAATACAATTCCTATCAAAATCCCAATGACATTCTTCACAGAACTAGATGGAAACACAAAAGATCCAGAGAAGCCAAAGCAATTCTATACAAACAGTGCAAGTTAGAGGTGTCACACTACTCCATTTCAAATTATACTACAAAGCCATAGCAGTATAACAAACAGCACAGCATGGGCATACAAGGTATACATGTAGACTGTTATACTAGAATGAACCACACAGGAAGAACCCATGCAACTGCAGCCACCGGATTCCTGACAAAGCAGCCAAAAACAAATGTTGGAGAAAAGTCAGCCTATTTAACAGTGTGGAGAAAGCTAGATATCCAAATGTGGAAGACTGATGCTGGAGATTGATCTCACCGATGGGGTTGGAGCAAGGTAGTCCCAAGAACAAGGTGCACTGAGGTAGGCCACGTGAATAAGCTGCTGTAGCCCAGAGAACCAAGCGTAGTGGATGTGCTAGTTTACATTTCCACCTGCGATGTCGAAGGATTCCCTTTTTCCTACATCTGCACCAGCATTTACTGTGCAAGCCCTGGCCGAGGGGAGCCAAAGCAAAGGGGTGAGCAGAGGATGTCTGAGCAGTCTTTCCACACAGTCTGCTGACTTTTGGGAGACAAATCCAGGTCATTTATAGACGCAGTTTGGCAATAAGTGCGTTGTCTCACAGAAAGTGAGGAGAGGGAATTTGGGCACTAAAATGATCAAATTCAGTGACAAGTTATAAACCGCAAGGGGAAAAAGGAATTCATGAGGCCACAGAGATAACAAACGGAGAAGCAAAGAGACGGTGGAACTGAAGGGAAGTCACTGGCTTGCAGCACGCCACGGTCAGGCTGAAGGAGGCTGGGCTGGGAAAAGCATCCGTTTGCAACCATCACAGTAAAGGCAAAATCTGGCAAGCACCATCAGGGGCTATTAAAAAATAGCAATTAAAAAATAATAATAAAAAGTGCTCCGTATGATAGCGAGGCAGGAGGCCAGAACAGGACTGTAGCAAGTGTTTCCCTGAAAACACATGAGCGTGAATGACTGTCCACACACACAACAAGAACTAAATTCCTCCCCACAGATCAAGGTAGAGCCGGCCCACACAATGGGGAAAGGAGGGAACACTTTGATTAAGAGATCACAAAGAAGCCACAGCTCTGGAGGCGGCGCCTTGGGAAGGACACCCAGTCACCCCTGCAGCTCACTGGCTGCCAATGCACAGCCATGTCCTGTCACAAAGGGGCATCCCACCAGGAGACCGAAAAAGCTCTGACTTGCAGAAGGGGGTGTGTGTGTGTGTGTGTGTGTGTGTGTGTGTGTGTGCGCGCGCGCGCACGCGCGCATGAGTGTGGTGGATTCTTCAAAAATGCTGAAGTCATAAAAGACAGAACAAGGCTGCGGAAATGTTTCAAGTTACAGGAGGCTAAAGATAAACAACAAACAGAAAACTTGACAGTGGACTGGAACCTGTCCCTGAGAGGAAGACAAGCTGCCAAGGACACTCAGACTGACTGGTAAACTGCGACCCAGGCCACAGGTTGGATAAAAGGCGACCTCAGTGTTACATGTATAAAGCTGGCAGCTGTACCGTGGATTTGGAAATATACACTGAGGTACTTAGGGATAAAGAATCATCACACATATAACTTATTCTCATATCATTCATGTAAAAATCTATATGAGAATACGGCTTGTGATCTCCTATACAGAAAATAGTAATACTGCAAGTGATAGAAATGTTAACATCAGATGATCAGGGCAATGAGTGTTGGGTATTATTTCAGTTTTGTTTTTTGCAGCTTCTTGGAATTATATACCAATAAAGGTTTAAAGACCATCATGGTTCTAAAATCACAATATTCTTTACAGGTTGTAAGTATTTATTGATTCAGTCATGGGTTCAGAGGCTTTTAATGCTGAACCAAAACAGGACTGGCAGAGGGCAGTCTAACATGCCTGCAGTGAGTTCCCGTGTGGTGTGAAACTGCAGTCACACTGGTCCCGTGCAGGCAGCTGCCCCTACCCCAGAGAAGATGCTGAGACGCTACTAACGAAGCAGGTCACAAAACAGTACGAACACCCTGACATTTAACAAAAGTACTGTGTCATGGCCAGGTGGCCGTGCACAGGTGTCCCTGGGTGACAGGATGCAGGAGATTTACTCCCCTTCTCTCAGTCTATCTAGATTTTTAAATAGTTTTCTGCCACAAAAGTGTTTCTTAATACAGAAGAAAAACCCAAATGTAACTCAGTAAAAAATAATTTTTAATTTTAAATCAAAATCTCACAACAGTTTTCTTCATTTATTTAAACAACAAACTGGTTCCTGAATGGACTAGGTAATTCTTTCCTGTTATAGTGGAAATGGAAAAGTTGTTTTTGGTTTTTTGTTTTGATATAGTGTATGACCCACCATAAAATGCTGACAAACCACATATGAAAGACAAATATGAAAAAGCTTATTTTAAAAATTATGAACTAGTTGGGCATGGTGATGCCTGTAATTTGGACTTGGAAGGCTGAGGCAGGAGGATCACTGAGTTCAAGGCCAGCCTGGGCAACATAGTGAGTTCAGGGGCAGTCTATTACATAATGAAACCTCATCTCAAAAAAAAATTTAATTAAAAAAGTTATAAACAGAGAACACAAATGCTTCAGTGCAAATGCTTTCCCCAAACTCAGATATTAAAGAGAAGGAAAGATCAACAGGAAAAGGTGAGGGAGCACAGAAATTCAAATAAAAGACACAGAGGGCATGCAGCCAGGGAGACACGCAGAAGAGGAGACAGGCACTAGGTCCTGTGAGAATAAGCTTGCACAGGGACAGAGGGCCACGGCACCTTTGTGGCAGAGGGAGCAGTGCAGATCCTCTAAACCCTACACTTTGCAAAGTTTAAAGGAGTGCGTGTTCTGGAATATAGTTTACCACACCCAGAATTAGCCTGTCCTGGCCAAATGCAGGAAGAAAGTCAGACAACAGAGAAAGAATCCTGAGCTTGTAAAGAGATGGCAGACACTTCAGAGAGAGGCCAGGAAGCCTGGGGGAAGCGATCTGATCTTTCCGTTCCAATACTGGAGAAGCAGAGAACCGGAAGCTAAGGGTCCCAGGAGTGACGGACAGAGTGGTGGGAGGGCAGGTGAGCGACAAAGAGACTGGAAACGTGCAGTGCTGATGCAGCAGGTCTTATTATCCTGCAGCTGAAAAGAAGGAGGGAAGGAGACAGAAAAGCCAGCACATGCAGCTGCAGTCTTTGCTATCAAGTGTTGGGAGATCAGCGAACACTGCTCACGATGATTCTTTTCTCCCACTCACCCAACCTTAACAGAACCTCTGCTGTGCGCTAGGCTGTACACCCTGTCGGTGTGAACTTTGGAGAGGCTCCTGTGTGCTGATGTTCACGTGTTAGGACACGCTGTATGTGGTGGAAGCAAATGAACGGAGCCACCATTTCACAATCATCCTTTTCTGGGGTAGGAGCACTTAATCTTTTAGCGGTATTACTAACCAGTCTTCATATTGTTGAAATATCCAGACTTGCTTAACATATTCCCTGCAACCTTTTGTCCTTTGACCTGCATATCCCCATTTTTTCCCTCCCTTCCCCATGACTCTTAATTCAGACACGGTCTCCCTATGGAGTTCAGGTTGGTCTCACTATGTGGCCCAGGCTAACCATGAATGCAAGGCAATTCTTCTGCCTCAGCCTGCTGAGTGTGGGCTTACAGGTGTGTGTCACCATGTCTGGCTTTTGTAACTTTTTTTTTGGTTTTTTTGAGATGGGGTCTCACTATGAAGTTCAAGCTGGTCTTGAACTCACTTTGTAGCCCAGGCTGGTTGCAAACTCTAAACAATCCTCCTGCTTCAGCCTCCCAAGTGCTGAGATTACAGGGGTGCACCACCATGCCCAGCATTGAAACTCTTAATTGAAAAAAAGATTGAAAATCTGACCTCTGCTCCACACATCTTCAATTTGATAATAAAAAATTGAAGATACTCTTATTTTTTTTAAAAGAGGCTAGGGACAACTTGGGATGTAGCTTAGTGACAGATTATTTGCCCAGGGTGAGGGCTGGGGTTTGACCCTCAGTAGTGAACAAATTAAGGAAATAACTGGGGTTTTGGACCCTGTTTCTGCCTCTATACGGGCATTTGCCCTAACACACTAGATTGTTGGAAAGAAAAGGTAAACAAATGTTAGTGAATGTATTTTCTATATAAGTGTCATGCAATTGTTATTGATTTTTATTAATGAGCATGTCTATACCAAGCACTTCAAAAAGATAGCAAATTGTGTATAAGGGTATTATTACACCATCAGATTATTACAATTGCACTATAAGTGTATTTCATGTACAAGCTGAGTAGCACTTAACAGGATGCTTAAGACCACACAAGTTTTGGACTTTGGATCATTTTCAGATGTGGGAATTTTGTATAGATATATAACGAGATACCCTGGGATGGGACCTGAGCCCAACTGTGAAACTCAATTCTCTCTCAAACACACTACATACCCAGAGCCTGGAGAGCATTTACCCAGTATCTTAATCTATCTGCATTTGACCATGACAGTCCACATGCAGTCAGGAGGAAATTTCTACTTGTGGCAACAAGTCAGTGCTTAAAGCATTTTGTTGTTGAAGCACTTTGGATTTCTGAGTTTTAGAGTAGTTACGCTCATCCTGTATAAACTCCCACCACAGTGAGATGCTTGCCAAGGCTCAAGTCCTCTTCAACCTCTAAGATGCTTTTATCTTCCTAGCAGGGTTCAACTGCCAGACCAAGGAAATCATCAGCACATAACATGAAAGTAAGGTCACTGTAATTAATAGGAACCCAGAAACAGGACATGAAGGGAGCAGCAGGGACTGAGGAAGGCAGAGTGACTATGACTATGTGTAGTAAAAGGGGACACTGTCCTAAAACTGAGCTCTGTAGGTGAGGGCCACGCTTAATTATTCAATACTCAAATGTCAGCGAACATTTCCCAACAGACTTTTTCTATAGAGCAAACTAGCAAGATACAGAGAGATAAACTTAATTCAATAATAACATGTCTTTTATTTTCTAAATAAAGTTTCACTCTAGTGACCCATAAGTAAAAACAGGTCACACCCTAAGGGTGCTATTACATGTATAAAAAAATCATACTGCCACACATCCTATTATTTACCAAGAAGAATGTGGCCAGCCCAAATACACATCTTAAGAAATTAAAATAATTAAGAACCACCATCCAAATCACTTAAAGGTAATGTTTTTAAGATTTTTAAATTACTTACAATATCATAAATTTCTCGGTCATCCTCATCAGCTAAAGTCAATAGTGCCACCAATGGATAACGAGATCTGGGCACGGTCCCAAAGTCTTCAATTTGAGTGTCTCTTGGTAATTGGCAATATATTTCTTCTTTGCTGTCCTTTTTAATACTTTTTGAAAATGTAAAGGCAAATTGCCACTATTGCCAAAGGACACAAACATATCAAAAATAAGGAATAACTCAGTAACGTTTCATTGTATATCATAAGAAGTTCGGTTCTCATGTGCTAATGATAATATTAGGTCAAAGGATACAAATACTGCTCTTGGTGGAGATACTCGCTGTACAGAGCGTCTTCTAAGGCCTGTGGGGTACTGATTCGGAAGCAATAGACGTGCTTCTGCAGGGCTTCATACAGCTTCTGGACACTGCAGCCCCAGTAGCATGTAAGGCGGCTGTCTTCAAGGCAGTCTGTTGTCAGGGTTATGCCGGCTGCAGGAAACAGCAGGGAGAGAATGGAGATGCCTAATGTAACCTGTACAACTCTGCAGGGAGGGAAACACAAGCGTACTTCAGGTGCTGAGCAAACTGTCTGTGGCTGCAGGGAAAGCTGACAGCTATTAGAAATGAGGGGCTGCCTCTAGCTTTCACTAGCTCTACAGTTTCTGAATACTGTCTGTCTTCCTCCTTATATTTTAAGCTTAGCATTTATCAGTTTGGTTTTCTTTTTCAGTGACTCGGAGATGTGTCCCACTCTAACAGTGTAGATAACCCCAGTGATAAGAAACAGGATAGCAGGGCATAGTCCTCTCCAAAAGTGGACACACATAACCCATGGGCTCCAGAAGAGGATCACTGAGGGAAGAAAAATATTAAAAAGAAATTGAGCTTCACTAATAAAGACATGTGTACCATTTAATAGTCTGTCATATAGTTAATGTCCCATGTAATATGCAAAACAGCCTGAGGGAAGAGTTCAGATTCCAAAATCTAGAGGGTTTCATATCAATATCCTCTGCTTGTTTTTAATGGAAGATTACAATTTGAATATATTTGACAAGTGGGTCTATTAATTGTAAACAGATCTGCAAATTACATAGGTAATTACTTTGCATCTACGTAGGACCCACCAGATGTTACCAATGTGATTATTCTCTCCTCACTGAAGGCAACTGTGGCATTATTGAGCTCAAGGACAGCCATGCCCAGGACCTCCAGGGTCTCACACTGTGGCCATGCGCACTCCAGGGGCATGCAGGCTCAGTTCTGGTCACTGTTGCCAGCTGAGGAGCTTGGTTTCTCGGCTTCTCTAAATCTGCCAGCAAGTCTACAAGCTATTGATATCATTTTATTGGAATCTTTCCTAAGGGCTAAGAAACAGATTGACACATTACTCATTGTTTTAGAAAATGTGATCAAAAGTATGTGTGGGGAGCAGACTCACTCTTTCCTCAGGTTATTTTGCATATTGGAAGCAAACACTGCACAGGATACTAAACTTTGAGTTTTTCTGTCTCAGTATTCAGTGGTATGGACCCAGGGTCCCATATTCTGGGGTACACACAACGCCAGTGCCATGGCTATTTCCAATCAAGGACAAATTTTAATTGGTAGGAACTCTACATAAGTAGTTGGAGTAGAATTTGATTTCAAATGTTTATATTATTGCAGTCATCAGGTATTAATTCAAGAATGGAAAATTCCATTAGCTATTAAATAGCTGGCAGGACTCCACTTATGTAAACTTATACAAATACAATTATACCTATTCTTCTCTGTGTCACTGCAGACCCTCTCAACATGAGACAGGAGAAAAAAGTTAGAGATAAGTAGGAAAAAGAAAAAAAAGTATGAAAAAGTCAGGGAAAAATAAAGCCAGAAAGTAACTGCTTTAATATTATTGACTGCTGGCAGAAATGTGAGAAGGTTATGTATGGGCAGGAGAAGTCATCACAGCAAGTGCTGGGATCAGCCCTGAGGCCCATCAGTAGGGATTTTAGGAATAAAACACTGCAAGGAAGTACAACACAGCTACTGAGGAAGAGCCGGGGCACGCAGTGGATACTGCTCACTTGCCCAGGGTGTATGAGGTACTGGGTTTGCGCCTCAGTACCACAAACATACACAGATGCGTACATACAATTTTTAAAAAGCTGGTTACCATGGTACATAGCTGTAATACAGCACTCAGGAGGCTGAGCCAGGAGGATCACAAGTAGAGTCTAGCACTTGTTGTAACATGTGGGTAGCCCTGGGTTCAAAGCCCACTACTCCCAAAAAAACAATTTTTAAGGCATATTAGAGTATGCATATGTACTAGTATAGAATGGTCTTCAGAATATATTATTAAATGAAAAAGCAAGGTAAAGAAAAGTGCACAGACATATGCATATATATGCACAACACTGTTTATCTCATGAGAGGATACCTGTATATATTTGGTCACATTTAAAAAAAAAAAACTGGGGCTGAAGATGCAGCGTGGTGTTAGAACACCTGCCTAGTACTGTGGGGTTTGATCCCCAGCATTGGCTGGGGGTGTGGGGGTGGCGGCAGGATAAAAGCCTTAAAAAAACATACACAACTACCAAGTTTCTTGCTTTGTGAAAAACCAGAGCTCCAGAAAAGAGACCAGAGACTCCTAAAACAAGCATAAACACTTGTTCACAAACTTTGTATATCTGACTGGAAGGAAGGACCTGAGACCTATTTGACAATGGACCATGAATAGACATGTGCCTCTTAAACTAATATTACAAGTTAAGAAAGAACTATAAAATTTTCTTTTCCACAGTCTTTCATAAATTGGACATATTATGTAGAAGAATTATTGATTCACACCATCTGATTTAGTCCAAATGCTCCCATGCAAAACTATTCCCCTCTCAAGTTTTCTCCACCACTTCTACAGAGTTCCCTACTTTTACATTATTGTAGTCTTCTAAATTCTAGTGCACATACAAATCCATCTTAGATCAATAGCATTACCAGAATTGGGACATAACTGTAAAGCAGAAAATTCAGAGTTAAAATTAAGCAAAGGAAATACTGCAATTTTTCTCAAACTGCTCTTATTCAGCAGAGCTGCAGCAGGCAAATAAAGCAAAGTATGAGGCAACTTTGTAAAAAGCTGAAAAATATGAGGAGTGTAAGTCTACCGCATTGAATCATGGGGGGGGGGGGGACAAACAAGTGACCAGGAAATCCACAAACTTTTTTCCTTCTGGAGGAAAAAATCTCACAAGGTGTGAGAGATGAAATGTACAGGAGACCATGCATAATGATACTAAGGACGAGATTTTTAGATTGCAGGAAGAGAATTTCACAAACTCCTCCCAGAATGCTGTGCGTGTTTGTCTGCCCAATTCTCTAACTCTTACTGTGGGGAATAAGCTAAAAATCAAAGAAGTTGTCTATAAAATGACAAAATTTCCGAACCAGTTTAATTCAACATAACACATACATACCAAATGCCAAAATTTTATTAAAACCTCTATACTGGCAATACAGAAACACAAATCCAAACACAGTATTATTAAATAACAATAAAAACTATCCCAATAACCTACTCCTAGTAAACAGAACTAAATAAGATTAAAACTGATTCTTTCCTTGGTTTTCAAGTTAAATCAGTTTCTAGATGTTCTACCTATCTCTGCCTCCTAAGTCAGACATTTTAGGGAGAGCAGTTTTAAAAATCCTAGATTATTAAACTATCCATACAGCAAATGAAACACCTTTTAAAATGTCACAAATATTGTGCCAAGATTATCTCAGCATCCTGTGTAGATAATGACACCCTCCTTTTTCACAGATTAAACAAAGGAATTTTTTATTCTATTAAATACAACTGCCACCAAAATCCATATTTTCCCTATAGAAGACACATAGTAACAAGCATTGGCACTTTAAAAGTTATAGTTCTTTAGTAATCACGCCAAAGTGCACACTGAAAAAAATTTCTGCATGTACTTAAGTAAAATTACACCTACAAGCGGGCACAGCTGAGGTCTACGTGCAGGGCTGGCTCTGCCTGGGACTACTGCTGTCCACTGACAGGTTCCTGGGCACGCCCCGGCTCCCAGGTGCCGTGTTTTGCTCGCACTGCAGCGGTTCTCCTGGCTTTTGCAGCACTGGCAGGCTGCGGAACTGTACTGCAGGCAGGATGCCACCTGCTCAAAAGCCACACGTGACCCTGCAGAAGTTCAACTCCAGAGCCACGGCGGCAGAGCAGAGCCATCCCTGTTCTGTATTCACCAAGTATGCACAGCCTGCTGTCTTCTCTATGCTCTATCTTAACATTTACTTTTTGGAGATGCCAAATGTCATGATGAACTCTTCTCAGCTATTTACTATTGGGAGCGAAGAAGATCTTGGTTCTTTTAGTTCATGGGGTGCATTATTTACAGTTAAGGAGGAAGAATGTGACATTTTGTACTTTTTTCTTTTAAATCAAGCCTTACTCAGGGTTAATGATCAACAGTGACAAAGTAAACTGATTTCTGACAGGAAGTCAAGAGTCACAAGGATTACATTTTATGAGCATTCTCCTTGCAAACTTTCACAGATGCGAAGGGATCTCACATGAACATTGACAGATGTAAGCACACTGCAGAAGGAGCTCAGGTGTCCGCCGACACTGTCACACTGTGCTGCTGTGTGTTCACTGCACAGGGCGATAGTGTACAGTGGTACAGTGCTCGGTCAGAGTCCGAGATGTCAGGAACAAGAGGAAAAGCAGCGGTGATGTGGAGGGATGCTGGGAAGCCCAAAGCAATACCCACGGAAACAAAAGTAACAATTATTGAGAGACTGACCCGAAGTGAGACGATGGTAGAGTTACTTGTTCTTCTAACATGACTTGTTCAACCTTGGCACCATAGTGAAGAACAAGGATAAGATCACGGGACATGTGAAGTTTTTTATGCTTTACACTGTGTATTCGTGTCAGAAGTGTGTAAGACTCACTTTGTCGTGCTCACCAACAAAGTTGGGAGTTCACTGTACTAGATAAGAATGGGTCACAGAGCTGAGCATGGTGGCCCATAAACCCAAAACTCTGGGAGGCTGAGGCAGGAAGATCATCATCCTGAGTGACCCAAGGAACTCAGTGAGACCCTGTGTAAAAATAAAAAGTTTTAAAAGGGTTTGGGATATAGCTCAGTGTAAATGCCCTGGATTCAACCCCCAATTCTAAAAAAACAAACAAAAAAAACCAGGTCCACAGAAGTTAGGGAGCACGACTTGTCAACTCTGCTAAACACTGCAGACACTGCATCAACTCAGGCCTGGGAAGCTTTCATAAGTGTGCTGACCACCGGGGACAGTGACCTTGAAGAGTCATTTCAGTACAGGGTCACAGGGAAAGTCGACTGCACTGCTCGAAGAAGTAAAAGAGAAGAGCAGAAGGCAAATGCAAACAGCTTTTACTTTAAGAAGCTGGCTGAGAAGGTGTTGCGGCTTGTATCTAGATGCACCCCCACAGTCTCATGGGGTCACAGGTGGGCTTCTTCAGAAGTGGCTGAATCTAGAGCGTTTGAGGCTGGAACTGAATCGTGGTGCAGTGCTAGGGTCAAGAGCACTAGCAGTAAGAATGTGAGTGCTACTGCGTGAGTAGCCTGGCTAAGACACAAAGGACAGAAAGAGCTGTGGTTGCTCCTTGTTGCTTTGTTGCCTTCTGCCGGCTATGAACTGCTGTCCCTCTGCCACACCACCCTGCCTTGGAGCCAGCCAAGGAGGGACTGAAGCCTCCACACACTGTGAGCTGAGTAGACCTTTCCTACTTTAACTGTGGCTGTCCGGTAACCTCAGCAATAATAGAAGAAACTTAGAAGGAAAGAAGAAAACCAGGACAGTAGCTAGAATACTCTATTTGTTAGTAAGACACTGAAAAGTGACAAGCATAAAAGGTGCAGGTCTCAGCCCAGAGCCCCTTGGCGGTTACAGAACTGTACCAGAATGCCCTGTTCTCAACTCTACTAAACACGCCCAACAGTACCCTGGAGTCCACAAGCTCAAAACTGCACACTGCCTTTCTTCCAGCCCTGCCATATCCCCATACTCCTGAGCTCTGGAGCAATATCGTCCTGTAGAGGCCAGGGAGAACCCAGGGCTCCCGAGGCTGTGCTCGTACCTATCCTGCCCTATGGAGACTTAACTAGTGATTTCTTATTCTCTAATATGATATTCTGTTTCCCAGCTATCTCAGAACTCTATTCCTGTTTCTTCCTCTACCTAGAAGTTTCTCGAACCTGAGGTAAACACCTACTTATCTTTTACTATACAGGACTCAAAAAAGAAAAATGAAAAAAGGGAAAAGAAAAAAAGAGACTTAGCATATTCTTTCTATGAAGGCTTTCCTGAATAGATCACCTTACTTACACAAATGTAACCATTTCTTTCTTTATAATTCCCTATAATGGTTCCTAAATGGTCCTGCCAAAAATTTATTTTTCAGGGGCTGGGGATATAGCTCAGCAGTATGGCATCTGCCTGGCAAGTGCAAGGCCCTGAGTTTGAGTCCTGGTTCCAAAAACGAAACAATTTGTTTTTCAGGTAAAGTACAGAAACAACTGCCATCCATTATCATCTACAAAAATAACATTGATATGAAATATTTTGTACCAAAATATAATTCAGGTTTTTTAAAAAAATCACTGTTTTTCAGAAGATAGCAACTTTATATTAACTATACTTAGATAACTGTCACTTCCCACTTGAGTGAAGACCAACAGAAATAGCACAGTGTCTTAAAAGACTTTTCTTGTTAATATCAGTGACATTTCCTTCTCCTGTGTATGTGTATATGCTTTTGCTTATTAGTTGATAAATTCCTTAGAACAATACTGTTAACGTCTCTATGTATCTGCAATATTCAGTCTAGACTCTGGGAAAGAACAGGTGCTCAGTAAATGCTTGATAGAAATTTATAGAGAAAGAAAAATGAGGGCTAAGGAGCATGCACAACAAGAGGAAATCTTTGTAAAACAGCCACAAACTTGTAACTGAAGCTGTGGATGGATTAGTGATCTCTAAGCCAAAAGGATTCTTCACTTGTCTCATCTGCTTTTTGAAAACTCTTGTGCTGAACTGAGTCTCTTCTGAATTTCTCAGAATTACTGGAACATCCCAGCCAAACCTGAAGAAAGGACAAAAATAAAATGTAGTTTAAACAAGTATTAAAACTTTATGTCATACGTAAAGTTTGTAATTCAGTAGCTATTCTTTTAACCTGTCAGGGAAAGAGGTTAAGGTTTACTATTTTACTATTTACTATTTTACTAATTTTAGTAAATTAATTTAGAATTTAGAGAAATTTGAGGTCTCGCAAAATTGCAATACATTGTTCATGTGGCTCAACTGACACACTGTCGATACTAGACTTACTTCTTAATATTAGCAATAATAGTAAAAAAGCATACTGCTTATATTTAATATAAAAGTAAACACATTACAGAATTTTAAGCATTTTACAAACATGTTAAAAAGTACATATTCAGTATATAGACTATATTTGGTATAACAGGTAGAGCAAAAACAATTAGTGAAACAACAAATAAACTGTGTCATTTATATATTTTCCACTTACAAATTTCACATTAAAAGAATGTGGCAAGCTTGAAAATGAAGACTAGGGGCTGAGGATTTAGCTCAGTGGCATAAGCGCCTGCCTTGCAAGCAGGCAGTCTTGAGTTCGATCCCCGGTACCAATAAAAAGGAAAAAGACAAAAAGAAAATGAAGACTAAACTTAATTTCCAGTAAAATGAAAAACCAACTAAGTTCACTTTATTTATTTATTGGAACCAGGAATCGAACTCAGGACCTCGTGCTTGCCAGGCAGACACTGTGCCACTCAGCTGTATCCCTGGCAAGTTCACTCACCTTAACTAAAGTAATCTAAAATGAGTACACACATTAAACTAGGAGACTTCAGTTTGTTAGGGTCACACTTTGATGAGCTCCCTTCTCTCCAAGTACACAGAATTAACAGACGAGGAATCAAAGAAAAATCAATGATGCTGATGAAATAAGTAAACAAGCTGATATATTTAAACAAAGAAACAGTGGTACTAAGCACTGAAAGAAAACACACAATATTCTGCTGTAAGCTCCTGGCTAAGTTTCAAAACATCCTGCTGTGCAAAAGAAGCCTTACACCAAGAGCACAAACAGCGCTAGGTGATTTCAAAGCAGGCAAAACTAACATAACGGAGGAAAAAAAAAAAAAAGGAGAACGGTAGCTTTTTGGAGGGCATGACCAGGAAAGTGCATGAAGAAACTTTCCTTGGTAATGGAATCTGTATCGTGATGGAACTTTGAATTCTGCAGATTATACGTTTGATGATTATACGGCGCCCAAGTAATTTCACCGTGACCCAGACAAAGCTCAAGAATATGTATAGGAATACAAAAATGCCCAGCAGCCTATCAGTAAAACTCAGAATGTTTCGTAGGTAATAAAAAAAAAATTAACAGTAGTGCAAAGAAGCAGAAAAATGTTACCCACAGTGAGAACAGAAACTAACCTAGAGAAATAAATCAGAAATGATAAAGATACTACATAGCAGGCAAGGACCCTAAAATACAGTTCTGACTATATTTCATATGTTCAAGAAGGTAAGTGAAGATCGAGCACATTTATACAGACATGGAAGATAAAACGCCCAGATCCATTTTTAGAGATGACAAATACAATGCTTGAGATGAAAAATGCACCGTGAGGGACTAACAGCACCCTACACACTGCAGAACAAAAAATGAATAAACCCGAAGACAACACAATTTCAAAAGTACTCAAAATGAAATAGAAAAAGCCACTGAACAAAAATAGACAAAACACGAGTTGCTCAAGGGGCAACTTCAAGCATCATAGTATACAGGCATAGAGCATTTGAACACATAATGACCAATCTATTGAAAACTATGAATCCACAGATGCAAAATCTCAATATTCTCTATGCGTAAGACACGGAAAATTACACTAAGGCACATAATAACCATGCTGTTTAAAAGCAGCAGTAATAGGACATGGCCAAGAGCAACGACATCGCGAGATTGGGCAAGTCTCGCGGGGCGTGACAGCAAAGCGGAAGGGGACCCGGAAAGATGGAGCAGAGCTTCGGCTGCCGGCTGCCGGTCCCTTTGCTCCCCAGCACCCTGCCCTTCTGGCTGTTGCGGGTCTCTGCCTCCCTCCCAGGGCCCAGCGCCACTCAGAATGAGCCAAGGATTGTCACCAGTGAAGAGGTCATTATTTGAGACTCCTGATCCAGGTCACCCTGCAGTGTAACCTCACCTCCAGCTCTCACCTCCCTTGCCTTTAGCTACTGGGCAAAGAATGGGTGGAACTGACCGCCACTCACAATAATGCTAGCAACATGGAATACAGGGTCAACAGGTGGAGAGCCGGGGTTTCAGGCGAATACCACTGCGTCTATGATTTTGTCAGCACTGCTAGCACAAACGCCACCATCGAAGTGAAGGCCGGGCCTGCCATCGCCAGCTGTACATGGTTTGAGAACAGGGATGAAGGGGAGGATGCCCCGAGGTACTGCGGGTCTGTTGGCTGTCCCCGCCCAGAGTGGGCTTGGCACCAGGAGAATGCTATCCCTTCATCATTAACACGGAGACTAACACGGAGTTAAGAATTCTGAGTCTCCAGATCATCGAAGACTCTGGGAGCACAAATGCAATGCTCCCAACTCTATCAGCTCTGCCCCCATGGTCACCATCCTCAAGATGGGGAGCCACCTGGACCCACTCTGGTCTTTCTTAGGAATTTAGGCTGAAATTATCATTCTAGTGCTGATACTGGTTGTGTGGGTGAAGAAGAGGCCAGATGAGGTTCCCACTTTCGCTTTTAAGTATGTAAATTCCTTTACACTGAAGTGTTGGACGTTACTTGCTGCATTTAAACTTTTACAATGTACCTTTTTGTTTCTAATGACCTTGACTTGTTAGAGTAGGATAAGGTTCCATGCAACTAGTTACATTATTTGGTTTGACACTATACTTTTTCACATTGATAACATGGCTGATGGCAGATTTTATAGCCTGACCAGAGTTGCATGCAGAATGTGACATGCACAAGATACATGTCATGTGCTCGTGTAACTGCTGAAATGCAATGACTACCTAAGTGGACTCACTTGTTTTTAACAATGAAACATTGATAAAAGGAGAGAGAGGAAGGAATTTCCTAACAGAAGCCAAAGAAAAAGATATAAATACCAACAAAAGAACAAAGAATGGCAGTTTTCTTATTAGAATTACTGAAAGCTTGAATATCTTTGAAGAAAAAATGTTAATCTAGAATTCTACACCCATAATTTTCAAAAGAAAAATAAATACTGTTATGCATAACAAAGCTAAAAAGTATAATCAACAGACATGCTTAACAAGAAATGCTACAGGAAGTCTTTGGAAGAAGATGATTGATAACCAAATGGCAATTTGTATTAATACAAAGAAATGAATAGCACAGAAATAGTAACTGCAGGGGAAAATGCAACATGTCTCTTATTATTTAAATATCTTTAAAATACTACTTAAAAGTTAGAGGTATACTACAAACTCACAAACAACCACTAAGACAAGTTACTGCTGATATATCCACGTTACTTCACTATTGCAATAAAGGATGAATAAGAGAGGCAAAAAACAAACTAGAGATGGGGTAAACAGCGAACAGCTAGATGGTGGCCTTACAGTCCTAGCAGTGAGTCTATCAAATGTAAATAATTTAAACTCTAATTAAAAGATAAGACAATCAGACTAGATAAGAACACAAGCCCTAATTATAAAGCCCTAATTATAAAAAATACACTTTAAACACAAAGACAAAAATAGCTTATAAAGGATGGACAAAGACATAGCTGCTAGCACTAATCACAAGAAAGCAAGAAGGGTGAATGATGTAACTCAGTGGTAGAGGCTCGCCCAGCAAGCACAAGACCTAGATTTAATTCTCAGGCTGGTGAGAAAAAAAATACTAAAGTGGGTGTATTCATAGTGCTCTAAGTAGATATCAGGGCATAGACCATTATAAGGAGTAAAGAAGCCCATTTTATAATGATAGAAGAGTTAATTCATCATGCAGGCATAGAAATCCTAAATGCTTATGTATCTATTAATAGAACTTCAAAATATGAAGCAAAAATATATACAGTTGCAAAGAAAAAGAAAAAGACAAAAATTCCACTTCTCCCGAATAGTTCAATAATTGTCTCAACAGAATATCTGCAGGAACTGCGGACTTGAATAATATCATCCAGTTTGACCCAATTGATGCTACAGAAAAATTTGCCCAACAGTAGCAAAATATATGTCCTTTTTAAATTACTAGGACATTAAAGAAAAACCATATTTTAGCCTATAAAACACATCTCAATAAAAACCTACAAGAAGTCACAATATAAAAAGTACGTTTCTGAACATGGTAGAATCAAATTCTAGATCAGTAACAAAGACATTGTAAAAATTCAAATATTTGAATTAAATGATAACTTTTAACTAACCCAGAAATAAAAAAATCTTAAAGGAAATTTTTAAAATTATAAACTGAATAAAAATGAAAATACATGCACCACTGATAAAACTATATGCTTATAAGTAAATTTAAAATTTCTAAACAGTTTGATCCCCAGAACCAAAACAAAAACTAAATACCAAAAAGCATGAAGCATCTCTATTCCTTATTAAATACTGGCCACCACTGAATCAATCAGTGAGTTTCAGTCACCTAAGAAAACAAACACGAGTTAATACTTTGGGTCCAGAATGTCTCAAAAATATATGCAAATCAATAAATTTGGCTTAATCTAGAGTTACATTCCACCCTCTTTGATGTAATACGCTAACAATCCATTCTCACATATAATTCCCTAGGTTCCTATAAAAGTTTACAGTTTTGCAGTTCTCTGTTTCAGAGGTCAGATTTTTGCTCCTGTCCTGTGGAACATCAGAGATTTTGGACTCAGGCTGCAAAGTGGGACCTAAATGAGGTACGGATATTCCTTTGTGACTATATTGGTTGAGGGTGTCACAGGAACTTCAGGCAAGGGAAAGCTGGTTTTCTCACACAAGGAAGACAAACTGCCTCCATCAACAAGGGAGACTCTGAGTTAGCCCTGGGGTCTCGAGATTCTCAGCTTTGTTCATGTCTATCGAGATGTCTCCATTCCAGGACTCGAGGTTCAACTTCTTTCAATCGGTGTCCTAAACAAGACACTGAAAAGGCTGTGCAATTCTATTACCAGCATAATTCAAACTGGATTTAATGTTTGGAAAGCTTTATTCTGTGACTACACAAAATAAAGTGCTTTAGAACCACAGAAATTAGCCAGGCGTGGTGGCTCATGCCTGTAATCCCAGCACTCAAGAGGCTGACACAGAAGGATTGTTGCAAGTTTGAGACCAGCCTGGGCTACAAAGTAAGCTCAAGACCAGCATGAACTGCATAGAGAGACACTGTCTCAAAAAAAAAAAAAAAAAAAAAGAACCACAGAAACTAACTTTGTGAGTCTTGGATTTGTCATTTTCTCTCTGTAAGTACACCAGAAAGTTCAGATGTAAGTCATCTCACTTCTGCCTCAATCCTCCAAGTTACCCTACTGCCATAACCAAGTGCTTGAACCACTTGGTACCCTGAGGCACCTGCTTCAGAAATCATTTTATTGCACATAATCAACCAAGGGTAGTAATTTAATTAGTTATGATGCCATTATGCACCACAGTGAGCCTTATTACTCATTAGCAAGGAACTGAAGAATGATCCAACCCCTAAATGCTTTCTTTAAGGGTTTTTTTCCCCCCCAGCATTCTATTTTTAGTAACACTTCCTTTATCAGTAAGGGCCTTGTCAAAAAACCCAAAGCCACAGCAGTTCTTCTAACATAGAGAAGTGAATATCAAACAATGCGAACCAGGGCTAGGGCACCGACTCAGTGGTAAGGCACTTGCCTAGCATTCAGTAAGGCCCTGGGTTTGGTCTCCAGCACTGCAGGGGAAAATGAGCCAAATGCTGCAGAACTAAAGAGGCAAAAGGGGAAACTGAATATCAGAGCTGTAGTAACAGCAGGCAACAGCTATTATTCCTAGGACAAAGGAATAGAGAAAAGAGTATTACTACAGTTTAGAAATTTGGAGTATGGACCCCATGGAGCTAGAACTCAGATCTAAAGAGGGGGGGCCAATGGGACGGGTTTTAGGGGGGTGGAAAATAATAAACTGTAACAACTGAGACCACTGCTAGAGGGAAGCACTATTGGTGTGGGAAGACAGACAGGCAGAAAGCAGCCAGGCCCTGCCTCCTCTGCCAGCCCTCCAGCCTGTCTCTCTTGTTGGCAAAGCCCGATAGACAGCCAGCTGGGAAAGAAGAAACATGGCTTAGAGTTCCCCCTCACATATGCAAATAATATATCCCAGTGGTGTGAAGTTAACACATAGCACAGTAACCTATGCTACGGTCAAGGTGGATCAGGGTCTTTGTTAAAGGCTGCATACGGCATTTGGGGCTTCTTTCTGCACAATGCTTGGCAGGAGCTATTACAGCTCATAGAAAGCAAAACACACCACACTTCTGGTTGCATGATTCCTTGCTATAGCATTGGGATCCCATTAGTAGATGCTCCTATTCTTTCTCTGCCCCACCAATGCAGGTGGGCACAGTGCATTGGGAAGAACCATGGGGCAAGAAACTCAGCTGGACTGAGGTAAGAACCATGACAAAAAAACAGAGGACCAATGGGGATTGTAGTAGGTTATCTATTTTACTCTTCTGGGAGGAATACTATTAGAAAGATGTTTTGTGAGATCGAAATGATCAATTTCTAGCTAATAAATCTGCAGCTTTGGCTTAATTTCAGTGTAACACAGTAAAAAAGTTTATCTATAGAGGCAAAGCTACACCAGGTAGAAAAAATGCTTGAGTCAGACTCAAAATGACTGGTGACGCCCAAACCAGAATGGAAGTGACTGTACTTTCATGTCCCTGTGGCCTCAAACCAGAATGGAAGTGACTGTACTTTCATGTCCCTGTGGCCTCAAATCAGAATGGAAGTGACTGTACTTTCCTGGCCCTGTGGCCTCAGCAGTGCTTAGCCCAGATTTCTAGCAGTTTGACAATTACTAGGGTTTCTATCCTTATAAAAATGATTATACAATTAGTATTAAAAGTTTAAACCAAGCCTTAAACCTGGCAGAACCAGGATCAGAGCCTAGGCCCGTGTGACTCCATTAGAATCACCATAAACATAAGGTTCCTGATTGCCTTCATCACTGACACCAGAACTGTTATCAATATGGATTTCACTAATTTTCCTACACTAAATGCCAGTGTCTAAGATATCTAATTATCTACCTGTTTAAAGTAACAATGCAACCACAGAATGTAATTATCAACTAGGTAATGATTTTTTTATGGAGATAAATTATGTTGTTTTAGGAGAATAACACCAACGTTATAGGCATTTTAAAATCTTGTGTTGACTGCTTTTCTCATTTGACACCTTCCTAATTCCGATTACAAACTTTCTTTAATGAGTAACAGCATTTAAACCCAATGGGTCAAGAATAACAAAATCCACGTCAATTGGTTTATATCTTCTCATACACAGGAATCTTATACTCACCCACTGGCAGGATGGGGAGCTGTGTAAAAATGTTAAAACTTTAGGTAGTTGCTGTTTTAAAGTAATGACAAATATAAGATCAAAAGAGATTTGTGAGCCTGTTTTACAAAATGTATTTTAGTTACTAACATGTCCTTCTCTGCTCATGCTGTTTTCTCTAAGCCTTCTCTTCTTCACTATTGACATTCAACTATTCTTCTAAATACTCATTCTCCAAAATACAGCTCAAGTCTTCTTTTCAGTAGGGTCCTCTCATATCTCTTCAGGCCAGGGCTTGTTATCTAATCATGAAAGCTGTTTGGCACATTTTGAACTCCGCTTTTTCAAAAGACTATGAAGGCTACGGTTGTGGCTAGTAAGATGGTTTCAACCAGTGTATATTTATGAGGCTTTTCTAAACATGACATAGTGCCATCTTTTCAAGAGAGAAACTGCAGACTCCCTGGGATAAAGAACTACTTTGTGGTTCTCTAATAGTCTACTCTCACCTCTCATCTCCTGCAGGTAAACTTCCTCTACCCCACAGTGCAGCATAATTAGAAGATTTCGTCCAGCTTCACAATATGGATTTTTTAAGAGTTCCACTGGCTAAATATTAACTCCGAAGGTATACAACGAATATAGAAGCCATTACACTCTCAAAAGGTAACAGAAGTCAGCTGGGTAAGATCTGCTGAAAGACCGCGGGCCAAGTTTCCAGTTCTGCTGCGAAACGCAACAATCAGCCCTGTTTCCGGCGGGGGCCGCTTCCCCAGGCACACAGTAGGCCCGGAGCGGGGACAAAGCCCACCGGACCAGCACTTCATATCGCAACACCAAGTCCAGGCGCTTCCTGGCGGCAGTGTCCCCTAGAAACAGCCTAGTGAAATCTCCGAGCCCGTGATGCGAGCGCCAGCGCTATGCACCGAGGACAGTGAGGTCCCCGCGCCGACCCCAGGTGGCCTCGGGCTGCTGGCGGCGACCCTCTCTCTCCCCGAGTGTCCGCCCCTCCGTCCCCTGCTCCCAGTCCCTCGACACTCACCATCCCAGTACCAGGCCGGTGGTCACGATGAAGCAGGTGAAAACCACCGCGATGTAAAACAGTGGCGAGTATTCATACAGCGTCACCAGAAACACCGCAGCCATCAGGGTCTCCTGGGCTGAGCACGGATCCCACCGTCTTGCTCAACCCAGCACGACCCACCTCCGGAGGTAGGGGGACAGGGGCGGGGGGGGGGGGGTCAAAGCCTCTACGGTGCTCGGGAGAGGACAAACTTTGAAAGTCTTGCATGCCTAAGATTTCCACGGAGCTAGAAATCTGGGCCAGATCCGGTAGTAGGAGCCAGCGAGCCAATCGCGGTATCACCAGCCAAGCGCGCCACACCTCCTTCGAGCCTGACCCGAGTTATTGGCTCTGCGGAGGGGCGGGACCCCGAATCGCACCGCCCCCACTCGCAGGATTGGTTGTCGGCCAGCGCTTTAGTGTGGCTTAATGGTCATCGCTGTTCTGCCCTCAAAGTCTAAATTGGAATTGGCACCAAGCGTGTCCAAATTAGGTAAATGCACGTTTTCTGGTGCCTAAGAGAGGTATAAACCGTGTACATCGTTTAGAAATCTCGAAACTCTGACTCTGAGATCCTAGGCTAATTTGGGACGAGGAGGGCGGGCATCACAGGTTCTACAAAGGGAAACATCCTCATACCTGATCGCGTCAAGTCTGGAAGACGTGTAAAGAGGCATAGTAAAAACAAAAAGTAGCTTGTATCACAAGCAATTTTTATGAGCCTTGTCATGCTTTTCCAATTGAGCTTAATCATAAAGGATAATTAGCATTGTGTAACCAAGACTCAAAATAAAACAATCGTCTTCCTTCCAGAACCCCTCTTTTTCTCCTCTTTGTACTCTCTGCTTGGAACTGGCCAGACCTTTCAACTTGTTAATATTCATTTTCACTAAGAATTTTTAAAAATTTTAACGGAGAAGACAGAGTGCAGAAAATGGCTAAGTGGCCTCAACTTGCCTCCCTGAAGCCTGCCCCCAACACTTACATCTTTTTGGTTTGCATTTAACCTTAACCTAGTTACAGAAAGAAGAGGGAAATGTATTATTCTGAGCGGTAATACCCACGCTACAAAATCAGGATTTTGTTACTGCGGCAGAAAGGGAGAATGAACATTGATACAAGAAATCAAAAACAACCTTCATTATGGAACCTTGAGTCTGGCCTCATACATCCCTTGGGAAATGATTATGCATTCTCTAGAGTAGTGCTGATCTTGCTTCTACAATATAATTTTAATTACCTTCTAATTATTACATACCTGATTTATGAAAGTGTAGTTTATTTAATCAGCTCTCCATTGTTGAAAATTGTTTCATTATCATGAACAAAGCTGCAATGAGCATCCTTAAAACTAAATTATTTCTTTTTTTTCTTTGGTACGGGAAATTGAACTCACAACCTCGAGTTTGCCAAGCAGGCACTTAAGCCACTGAGCTAAATCCTCAGCCCAAAATTAAATTATTTCTTTAGAATAAATTACTAAGAGGTGCAACTTTTGTTTTAAAACTATGTACATTTGTAAGATTTTAGAGAAATTCTGACATTCAGAAATGTACTAACTTGTACTGCCACTCTTCAACTAGTTTTAAACTGCATTTGATACTGTTACTGAACAAAAATCTTGATCAATCTGAAAGGCAATTTTATTGCAATAAAACAAAGTTCATCACAACACAAAAATGTAAAAGTAAAGTGTCATTACACATCTAAGTTTGCTCCCTCCTTTACACTTTAAAGACTTAAAGTGTAAGGGAATTTAGCTCAGCAGCATAAGTGCCTGCCTGGCAAGCACAAGGTCATGAGTTTGATCCCTGGTACCAGAAAAAAAAAAAAAAAAAAGACTTAAAGTGTAAATAAAAATCAAGAATAATAGGAAATAAGATCAGAAACAATGATATATGGAAAGATGAAAATTAGATAATTCAATAATCAGGGCATGAAAGCTAAATCCTGAGTCCGCAATAAAGAAAACTCAGACCCAAGTTTATCCTGAAGAATTCTCTACAAAAACAGAAACACAAACCCTTATCATTTCCTACATGAATTTCTACTACAGTCAGTGAAACTTGTATCTTTTCTTCTAACAGATTTGTCCAATGTATTTGGACAGTGCTGGCAAGGCTGACTTTTTTTATAGCACATATTGTATTCTACTGCTGAAAATCTTGGGTTGTCATGTAGTATTTCTTCAAGGACAAAATCTGCAAGTTCATTGTTTGGCATAACTACTTTTATATGACTTTACCTCTTTTCTCGCATTTATTCATTTAAAAATTATTTAATAAGTGCTTGATATGTCCTAGACATAGTAAAGAATCAAAACAAAAAAACAATAAAAATGGCATACTCCCTTTTCTGCAGTTCATAATCCAGTGAAAAAGATAAACATTAACCAAAGAGCTCTGAACAAAATTATAAGTGCTACTTAAGAAAGGTACATAAAGATAGGAGAACTTATAATGAAGTAATGGAGGAATATAAGGTACATCAGATGATTGAGAGGATTCGATGGAGGGGTTTACCAAAGGGACAGAAGAGGCGTGTGGGGCACAAGCTATAGACCACACAAAGTCCTTAAGTTGGTAGAAATCACAGCACACTTAAAAAACTGAGAGGTCATCGTAGCTGAAGTGTGCAGAGCTCAGAGAAACAAAATATGAGCTGACAGCCGAGACCGTATAGGAGTCTTGCCATTTAACTACTTAAATTTACCCTAAAAGCAAAAACAAACAAACAAACAAACAAAAAACACTGATGTTCTTGAAGAGGGGCAAAGGCAACAATCTATTTGCATTTGTAGTCGATCATTTCCGTGCATAGGAAACTGATTGGAAAGAGGCTGAAGTGAATGCGAGGAAATATGGAGATAGCAATTACAAGATTCTGTCTAAAATCCAGGCAAGAAATACTGTTCACTCTGATTAGGATAGAGCAGCAAAGTGGACTATTAATTGGAAATGGTTTTATCTGTGAGAGACAAGCCAACAATAACAATATCTTAATCAAGATAAAAGTGTTAATCTTAACTGAAAGTCCTGAAGCAGACAATGCAGTGACAACATAATGCCACATTGTACTAAGGACCCAGACACCTGTTCTCCATTGTATCTGGGCCCCATCCCTAAAGTCAACTCATAACCTAAAATGACTGCTGCCGGAAGGAGGAAAAACTGAAAAAGTGACACATCACTCCCGTTCAGGGAGAGGGAGAGGTGGGGGACTAGGGAGAGAGAGAGAACGAAGGAACTCCAGTCTCCGGGTTTTCCAATACTCCACCTGTTTGGGTGAGTTCATGACTACTAGCTCATTTGCAGCATAGCACAATTTCACCCCTAGGAGGCAAAGGGAGAGGCGGGCGTTAGCGTTCCGGCTAGCTTTGAGCCGCGCCTCCTGCCGTCTTCAGTCACGTGCGGGCTGCAGCCGCGCTGATAGGCTGGAGCCACTCAACTGGGCGCCGGGGCCGGAAGGGAGGCCTCCGCAGAACCATTCTTAAAGGGACCGAAGAGGAGGCGGCGGGCTGCGGACGGCCGGAAGGAAAATGGTGAGCTGCTGTGGGAGGGCGGGGGCCAGAGGGCTAGCTCAGCCAGCTGCCTGGCTTTGCTGCTCTCCAGAGCCGATAGCGGCGGGCAGCGCCTGGTGTGGGTCCTGCTGCTGGCAGGAGCATCCTTCATCCCACCCGTGTCTGTTGCCAGAGGAGCTCGGGACGAGGGTGCGGCCTCGGCTGGGGAGGGTCGTCTTCGACCCGCCCGGGGGTCGGGGAGCAGGGTCGGGCTCAGTGGAGGGTTCCCCAAATGCCAAGGTCCCTGCGGCATCCGCGAGGGCCAGGCCGGAAGGATGGCTTATCCCTGGCACCTTCTGCCTAGCGGTTTCTGCCAGGACTCGAGTTCTGATTGCTTTCTTTCGGCCTCGCTTTAGCTTCCGTCCTCCCCCCCCCCCTCCTCTGAGTATTTCTCCTGATCCAGGCATTCTTCGGATTACAGCAGTTGGAATCCTTTGACCCAAGGCGTTGGCGCTTGGCCTTCAAGTAACTGTCAGAGATTTAGTTTGCTGAGTCTTGGGGCTGTAGCTTCCGTCCTCCACTCTGATGGGCCCCAAACAGAAAAAATGAAGTGAGAATTAGCTCAATTGCCAGCAAAGATCTTCTGGATCTTTCCCAGAGGGTTGTAAAATATGTTCAAGTTTCATCAGCAGCAACAACAGAAAAACGTTGCTCTATTCTCTGACCTCCTGTTCACTTTGGAGCCCACTTCCATCCATTAGATTTTGTGGAGATTAATGAATCAATGGACTCTTTTCTTTTCATCTTTTGTATCTTCCAGCTCAATTGCAGGATATTGACACTCTATTTTTTGAAGTAGCAGAGGCCTTATGCTTCCTCCTTGGTTCTGGGATACAGAACTCTAGGTTTTCCTCCTCCTCTTGGTGCCCATCTGTTTGCCATGCAGGAGATTCTTCTTTCCCTGGACAGTACATGTAGGAGTCCTAATCTTTCATTTTCCATTCTGCGTTTTTCTCTTACATCGTGAATTCAGTTACCTATGTTCAGATGACTTGTGAATTTATTCAGATGACTTGTAAATTTAAGCTATCTGAGATCCAGTCCAGATTTTATACTAGGCTCCATAGTTAACAGCCCACCTCATTTTGTCCCAAAAGAAGTCATGCTCTTTTACCTCAAACCTGATCTTCATGCAGTGTTCTGTAACTCGGTGAAAGGCAGTCCTGTTCTTTGTGTCATACAAACCAGACACCTAGGAGATGTGTTTGTAACACCTATTTTTCTTTATCCATTCTGCCTCCCCCAGCCACTCTGCCACTAGCTCCTTCCTAGTGGTTAAGAAAGTGGGCTAGAGGTCAAGTGCCTTGGTGGCATCCTGGCTCCACCTACCAGCTGTGTAAATTTTAGGGAAAACAATCTGTCTAAGCTTTACTTTTTTGCAAGAAAGAAATAATAGTACCCGTCTCATGGGCTGTTAGGAGCATGAAGAGAAATCTGCAAAGGACATAACAATATTTCATGGTGTCTGATATGCCCCATTATTAGCATTATTCACTTTATTCTCATTATCATCAGTAATCTACTTTTCATCTCTGATCTGGACACCCTTTGCCTGCATCTAGTCCCGCTGTATTCATTGTGGCTCCCTGCCTGTTTCCTGTATACCACAGCACATGGTTGTTTCACAATGCAAATATGATCATGTTTTTCTTCCCTTTCCTACTTGAAACACCTTTTGTTCATTGGAGAGAAAGCAGGATTCCTAACGTGGACAGCTTCTTCCCGACCATGGTCCTGCTCCTGCGCCCAGTGCTTGAGTCTCACTGGCCTTTCATTATCTTCCTCATGTTGTACTCCTGTTAATAAAGACATCTTGGCCATGGTAGTTTAGTCCCTCAGGTGCCTGTTTTGGGAAAGACTTCTGTGACCATGTTGTAAGTTCTCGTAGCATCATGTGTCTCCTTTTGTAGCCCTATCACAGGTACTAGTTGACATATTTTTGCCTAATTCTTTTGATGTAGGGCAAAGACCATAGCTTTTATATGATTAAATCCCTAGCACTCAGTACACCTCAGGTACTTGTTAAATATTCATTGAATAAATAATAAACACTTTTGGCTTATATATTAACATTCACCATACAGTTGTTTTCATGGCATTATATTTATCCCTAAATGCTTTTACTAAGTGTAAGCAATTAGAGTTGGCTGAGTCTGAGTTCTTCCAGTAGGAAGAAATTTTTGGTTTGATTGTGGAATTGCAAAGCATGAACACACAAAACCAAGTATAAGGATTGTATCACAGAGTGTTTTTCACTTGATTTCTGATCCCAGGCGCCAGATTTACACAAGCTTTGAGTAGCAGAGCTTGGAAGGTGAGACTTTCACGACAAATTGATCTTTATCTAAACAAAAATCAGAGAACAGAAATTCTAGTTTTCTGGCTTCATTATCTTTTTTGAGAGAGAGAAAAATAATGAACTGGCATTGAATCTTAGCTTCAGGAAGCGCCCTGTGATTCAGGATCTCTCTGAAAGGAGCTACAAGAATGGAAATACATAACTCCTATAGTCATGTTATTTATTGGACAGTGCCTTCTGATGGGAGTTGTATAATAGTTTATCATATGATACATATCACACACTACTTATCAGTGTTATGATAATAGAAATTTGAAATAGCCAGTTTTGCTTTAGCCTTTTTTTGTCTTTTCCTAACACAGGATCAAGCAAACAGGCTTTTTTTTCAGTTTTGATTTTAACTTAAAAATGGAAGCCTTATGCCTTTGAGTTCTGATGGGATGGGCATTGAGCATTGCACTCAGAAGTATCCTGACTTTCTTGAAGGAGGAGTGGGCCATCCTATATATGAAAAGAGACCAAAGTGACATGACATGTTCTGGATGGTCGAGCCAACTGCAGAAAAAGTTAAAACAGTGAGGAAATTTGAATAGTATTTGGATATTGCGACTGGAATTCTTGCCAGTGTTTAAAGAGGGATGATTTTCCTGTCTTTATGTTACCCATGGTGTGTCATGTCTTTTATTTATTTATTGAAGTACTGGGGGTTGGATCAGGGAAAGCTGAGCTACATCTTCACCCATTTTTTATTTTGAGACAAGGTCTTGCTAAATTTCCCTGGCTGGCCTCAGATACTCAGTCCTCCCCCTCACTCTCTGGAGCCGCTGGGTTGCAGGCCTGTGGCACCCTGCCTAGCACAGTCTTTTACATGACACATTCTAAACTACTTCAGGTGAAATGACTTCTGCCTTGGTGGTTGCAGTCCCCGGGGGCATTGTTGAGGGTGCTGGGTGAAATAAGATTGCTGGTGGGTAAAGCTGAGTGATGGGTGCGTAGGGTTTCATTATTCTGTTTCCTGTGTCTGCACATGGAGTTTCACTTGTTAGGAACAAACATATTTCCATCTTCTTGTTTGCAGTAGTGCATTGCACAACTCAAAGAGTGCTTTTGATCATTTCCTAACTAGATTTCTGGGAAAGCTTCTGTGTTTTCAGTTTCTAAATGATTCTTTTAGCTTTTATGTTTCATATGATTTTGCTTTCATATGGTCTTTGTTTTTCCCATACATTCTTTTTTTTTTTTTTTTTTAATCAGTACTGGGATCGAACTCACAACCACGTGCTTGCAAGGCAGGCGTTCATGCTGCTGAGCTAAATCTCTAGCCCCCTTCCCAAATATTCTTAATAGCTCATTTTATATGTCCATGGTCAACTAGGATATAAAGTGTTTTTAAGCTTAGGGTTTATTATTTTTAATACTTTCGTTGTTTTTATTTTTTCCATGATTATGAAACCCTAAAACAAGATGATTTTCCTGTTCCTGCACTGTAAAAATATTATGCTCATCTTATCTAATAGCAGATGGTGACCCTTGACTTCCCTATTTCCTCTCTTCCTTTCCAATTTTTTTTTCTGCTCCAATTCTGCTGGAGTGTGCACATTATTATGTGTCTAATTTTTGCAGCATTTATTGGCCTAAGAAAAAGTTAAAGTAGAGCTTACGCAGAAGATAAAGTTGTACAATTAAACAGTATAGATTTAAAGGCTGGTAGGTTTGAAAGTTAATATGATACATACATTGGAGTCATGGCATTTGATAATGTTTTCTGCTTTTGTTTTCTGTTTTGTAGAGTGAATCTTTGGTGGTTTGTGACGTTGCTGAAGATTTAGTGGAAAAGCTGAGAAAGTTTCGTTTTCGCAAAGAAACGAACAATGCTGCCATCATAAGTAAGCCAAGTGGTTCTCTCAAAGCTGGGATCTCAGTTTTCTTTTTCTTCCTTTATAGCTGCATTGAATACCCTGTGCCTTCACAAAGTAATGTCACCTCTACCTGTTAGACCCCCTCCCCTACTACCTTTAAAAGTTAAGAAGCAGCTGATTCTGAGGTCACAGGACAGGTGGGCTGTCCCGTCTTCCCCCATTCTTGGCTGCGTACACAGCTCTGGAGAGGATGATCTCAGCCCTGAGTAGTGAGGATCCCCACTTGTGACCCATCTAGCCCCATCCTTCTCAGGACGGAAAATAGTCCGGGATTTCATCCTGATATAGGAACCTGTGCTCCTTCTAAAACAGTCATGTTTGCCCTTACATCCAAAGTGACTCTAGGCCTTGTGCCTGCTCTAGAGCAGAATTCTCCTTTCACGGGCTGAAAATGGAGAGAAAAGTTTGCATGTTGCCTCTCCCCACTGCAAGCCGTGTCTGAGGCTATGCAAATTCCTTTCTCTTTGTATTTAATATGTGGATGGAGGATTTAAAGGTGAAGGAAGGATGGGGGTGAACATGTGAAACTGTGCAGACCGAGCTGAGCTTAGATGGGTAACACCTTGTCATGAATCCAGGTTCTCTTTCAAATAAATGCCATAATGTGGGCATATGGTTCTTGAATGTAAAAATATGTGGCAGTGCAATTTTACCACCAAGGTGAGACTATTTGAAACCAAACTGGGCCTCATGGGATTTAACTAAATTAATACAAAACCAGGTATAGTCAAAGGAGTGCAAAACCAAACATGGGCCACTTTGCAGAGGAGTGGGGAAAGAATAGAGGCGAAGGTGATCTTCACTGATTCTGGTTTGGCTTGGGATCATAACAGGTATTGGTGCTGTTTGATAATTCGTTTTCTCAGAATAACCCTAATAGAGCACTTTGAAATTCCCACTCTGAAGAGGATGGGTTCTACAGTCCAGACCCCGGGTCTGCTTTCCACTTGCAGTGATAACCACGTGGCCCCTGGACCGCTGTCAATCACGGTCACCTTCTCAGGGGCTTATCTGATCTAGGAAATCACATTTGCATTAGGAAGGTTTTCATGGTCTCAGTAAAGGCAAGGAGCTGAGTCTAAGTTCTAACTAGAGCATGCTAGATGCTGGGAATGGTGGGTGAAAACTTAAAAGCCGACACCTTAAAAAGCAAAACTGGCCAATGGACCATAAATCAGAGCTGCACGTGAGTTTTGCGGTTGTGTTTGTTAATGTCTTAACTTTGTCCCCCAAAGACTGAGAGTGTGGGGTGGGCAGGTCACAGTCACCATGGAATCCCAGTTGACTCACACTGTGCTTTTGTCTCAGTGAAGATCGACAAGGACAAACGCCTGGTGGTACTGGACGAGGAACTTGAGGTTCGTTCAAGAGATAAATATTTTTATACTTAGAAATGGTTTCTCCACAGACGCTTTCTTGGCTGGGCGTGGGGGCACAGGCCTGTAATCCCAGCACTGGGGTGGCTGGGGCAGGAGGATTGTCCTGAGTTCAAGGCCAGCCTGGGCTATATAATGAGTTCAGGGCCAGCCTGAGCTGCATAATAAGACCCTGTCCCCAGAAACCAAACCAAACAAAAATGCTTTCTTAATTACATGAACTCTACAGTGCATTATACGCGTGCATAAAACCAAGGTTAATGATCACAGATCACATTGCCTTACTCATTTGCTGCCTTCCTAATCCCTGAACGCAGTCAGGAGGAAGCGGAGGGAGGCAGGGCTGTGCACCCAGGCAGGAGTGAGTCAGCTTTATAACTTCCGCATTGCCGGGATAGTTAAGGCATTAGCAACTAAAACCCCACAGATGTCAGCATTTAGTTATTAAGCAACTAGTTCAGGGTGAGAAGCAGTGAGCCTTTTTTTTCTGAAATCTGGTATTTCCTCTGAGATGTCGGCTTCCCTCACCCAGTATTTCATGACAGTAGGAACATAAGCTTGGAATACTGTGCCTGTGTTTAATCAATGAAAGGAAGTCATTTTCTTTTGTTATGTGATAATTTGTGACTACTAGGAAGTGTGTTTAGAGTGTCTCCTAAGAACTTACGGGTAAGAAAAATGTTTAAAAGTTGCTTTTTTCTGTGGTTACTAGGGCATTTCACCAGATGAACTTAAAGATGAACTACCTGAACGACAACCTCGATATCCTTTCTTGCTGCGTTAGGAAAATCTGTTTTCTTTAGTTCCACAATTTTATGTAGGAGCTTATTTGTTAGATTTCCAAAAGACATATTATAATGTCTTTCTATATTATGATTATAACCAAGTTAAAATATATATGCATATGTTGCACTTAGACAAATGAGAAGTTGATGTTTTCATGAGATAAATTAACTTCCTGAGTGTGGTGATGCTCACCTGTAGTCCCAGCACTTTGGAGGCTGAGGCAGGAGAATTACAAGTTTAAAGCCAGCCTACCTAATGAAGCCTTGGAAAGAAGAAAGGAGAGGGAAGGAGGAAGATTTCCTTTATTATATTGTGGGTATGACAAAAATTGAAATATAAGCCGGGTATGGCTACACAGGCCTGCAATCCCGGCACTTGGGAAGCCGAGGCAGAACTGCTCCAAGTTCAAGACCAGGCTAAACAACATAGTGAGGCTCCTGTCTCAAAGGAAAAAAAGCAAAAAATAATAATATAAAATATTACAACTATTTTTAAGAGGTTACATGATTTTATCACTTACCTTTAGGGCCCATTTATAATTTTGTGGAAAGATAAAAATGCAAATGTGGCCACTTGAATAAGCTACTAACATGAGGCTCAGTGGCTGCCTGGGTGTTGGTGAGTGCCTGCCTCAGAGCAGCGGCTTCGTTTCTTTAACTTGAGAAAAACCTTCATTGTGTATAGTTATAAATATCAACATGATGATGGAAGAGTTTCATATCCTCTGTGTTTTATTTTCTCCAGTCCTGTAGGTAAGTGAATTTCTTTAAAAAAAAAAAATCTATATTTGGCTCTAATCTAATTAAACCATCTTTTGTGAGACAGACTTCACACTATTTTAAAAAAAGAAAATTGTTGAGTGACCTAAATTGAGGGATGTGTATGTGTATGCGCACACACCTGCCAGCATCCCTAGAAAGAACAGAAAGCAGCGTCTCTTAGAAAGTTCGCTTTCTGCAGTGAGTTCCTAGAAGTATAATTGCTGGGTCAAATCATGCATACATTTTAATGACTCTGAAATAGGACACTTTTTAAGCATCAAAAGTTTATTTTCTTACATATTTTTATCTTGGTTGTAAGCTTTGTATAACCATGATAATTTGTTTCTCTGTTAAGTAGCAGTTTTCAGTGATAGGACTGTACTCTGGGGACTGGCTCCCAGGTGGTTTATGTTGTGTATTAGAATGGGTTGGGCTGAGACGTGGCTGTGATAGGGCGCTTGTCTGGCATGCATGAGGCCCCAGGTTCTTCTCCAGCACTGCAAAAAGTCAAAATCAAAACTCACTGGTGTTTAAGGGATCCATTATCTCTAGAATTCCCCTACCACAGTGTTCCAGCCCACAGGAAAGGCTGTACTCACTCAACTGTTCTCTAAACTTTATTATTTGTCTTTTTTTTGTCCTTAAAGTATAATAGAGTTTATTTTTAAATTAATAAATAAGCTGACTAAATTTTGTTGGCAGCATATCTCCCTGTTCCACCATCATCTCCTACATCTTTTTTACTTAGTTCAAACATCGATGAAATGGAGCGTGATATTTAGTGTCCGAATTAAGACTGCTGAACAAAGATTCTGAGTGTTGTAAGGCTTTAAAAGTCAAGATCCACAGAAGTCTGGAACCGTTTATTTTTTGCTGACCTGTGGACTTACGCATAGCTGTGTCTTTTTGTAAGCAGTTCTAGATTCAAAGTAGAGCCCATGTACATAAACCAAAGCTTTTGTAAAACTAAACAGCAAAAGAAGTCCTGAATGTGCCATTTTCTAAAATTAATGAAAACTCATCCCATTTTCCAAATCTGCACCTCATTTCTTTACTCACCTCTTTTGCAGGATGTAAGCCTGAACAACAGATGATGTATGCTGGCAGTAAGAATAAGTTAGTCCAAACAGCGGAATTAACCAAGGTGGTATTCATTTTTCTCTTACTTGTTGAGATTGTATGTCCTCAGTATAAGAGCAATAGCTAAAGTGATCTGGACAGTTACATTTTTTTATGCAAGTAAAGGTTATTGAGACCACAGCAGTAATTAGCAAAGCTTTCTATTAGTTGGCAATGCTGGAATGCCAGTGGCCTGAATCAAAGGGTGCTGTTTAGTAAGTGTAATAAAAGAAATCACATTCAAAATGTGAGCAGCTTTAGAAAAGCTACTGTAACAATTAAATCTATCAAGAGATCTTTATGTCCTGTAACTTAATTTCTTATAGAGATCAGCATTAAGGCTTACCTTTACCGTAGTGTAAACTAAATTAGATTCTGTGCTGGAATTTGTTATCATCTAGCTAGCTATAATTTCCAAGTCTAAAATTAAATTAATAAGAATATAACAAAATGACAACACTTTTATATGAGGTACTTTTTGAAGATTTGCCAAGGATATAGCTCAGTGGCACAGCGACTGCCTGGCAAGCGTGAGGTTCTGTGTTCGATTCCCAGTATAAAAAAAAATTAATATATTCCCCATTGTTGTGTGGTATTTTTGAAGGGTGAGGTTCAGAGGTACTTGGCCTCAAACTCCATTCAATTTCTACATACTGGTTTGCATTGGAGCCACATACACATTTAGGGTTTTGAAATAGAATATGGTGTCATTAAAACTATTCTAACAGTATTTCCTCTAAAGTTTTATTTTTAAAGATCACAGTAGCACTTACCTTTGGGTGCTTAAGCGTCCACTCAGAAAATCTTTAGGCGCCCTCTAATTTTTCTCTTGAAAATACGATTACCATTGATGCCACTGACCTGTAGACACTACTTTCCAGTTTGTACTAGGGAACATTCTGGAAACTCAGCAAAGGACTGGATGGTTAGAAAGGAGTCCCTGGCACCACAAAGCTGTAGGCTCATCTCCTTCTTCCCCCAAAAGGAGGGGGATTTTATAATCCTACATGTGCCCTGGAGTGCTAGCGTGGACACACTACAAGTGACTTTTGTAAATAATCTCATTAAATCCTTGTATCGCCTGCCCGCTGAGGTCAGTGCTCGTATTTCTGTTCTGTGCATTGGGAAGTCAGCAGTGAATGACTCCCCCACTGTTGCATGGTAGTAAATGACAGAGCTGGGATTCAGATTCCCATAGGCCCCCGATGCCACCCGTTCTGTAATTCACTGTCTTGCCACAGCCATTAACTTTTCTGAGCTGTGTTAATTCAGATTCTTGTTGCGATTCAAGCTGTCAAACTCCCTTCTGTCTTTAGCAAAACAACCCACAGCAGGTGTTTACATTTGGTGCTCAAATTATGCAGGATCTGTATCCTGTTCTCCTGACTAGATTGATTTTAGTAGTCTATACTTGGGCATCTCTTCTGATGGGCAAGGTTTTCAGAACTGCTCTTAGAATAATTACACATTTGTGCTTTTAGGGAGTTCTGGTTTTATGTCATCTTGTGTGTTTTACTATGGTAACAGATTTTAGTATTTAAAAGAAGCAAAATGCTGTCTACAAGGTATGTCTGATTTACACAGGTTAAATCATGGCCAATAGGAAGGAAGCATAATCTGATATTTCATACTCAAATCTATATTATACATACTGTGTTTTTTAAGGCCTCAGACAGAATGTGATCTAAGCTGTTTGTTTTTTCCCCCTGAAGGTATTTGAAATAAGAAATACTGAAGACCTAACTGAAGAGTGGTTACGCGAGAAACTTGGATTTTTCCACTAATGTGAACTTCTGTGTTTTCCAAGTATTTATGTGTTAACCTGACCATACTGGAACCAGACATAAATACTTATTTATGCCTAAAAATGCACTGTTACTTACCGTTTATTTCCTGCAGTAAAGAAAAATTCATTTGTGCAAAGTTTGAACAAAGAGGAAATCATCTTCATAGTAATGAAACTTTGTAAAGTGTTTCCTTATATTTGTAATTGTTAGGTGGACTCCTTTTCTCCAGGGACTTTTTGCACTCTTGTGACTAATTTGTATAACTATAGATCAGAATTTGTTACTATTTACAGACACCATTGAAAAGTGGGTATTAGATTGTGATAGACAACTGTTGCCTCCTTTTGACAAATACTGGATATTAGCAGTTTATATATGAAAATAGCGTATTATCACTTGTCAAATTGTTGACATTAATTTGGTGTTAAAGACTTGACTACCCAATTTTGAGCCATGAATACTAATTAATTTAGTGTAACCTGCATTCTAAATACATTTTTCCACAATTTCATACCTCTTGATTTCCTGTATCTTTTTAATCAAGCTTAGAAACTATGTTCAATCATTCATTCTTAAGGTCTGGGAGTTAGATTTTATGATAGAGTTAGGACTATTAGTTTTCTTCTTATGGAAAATAGCATCTTAGTGGTAGAAATTGGTGGGTGGTTATAATAACCAAGGGCTTCCTTCCTGTTTCTCTTATTTCTAGATTGTTTTTAATCTAGGTTACTAATACTTTATTTATAAAGCATTTCCTAATGTCTTGTGAGCACTAATTATTTTAAGTATGTTAATACTGTGCCTTTGATTTGTTAGTTTTATAGTTTAAGATTTCTACACTGCCAGTATTCTAGATTTGGTGAAATTAATACTTTTTTAAAGGGTCCAAGTAAAACAATTTTCTAATGTGTTTATCTGAAATTTGTAATAAAATCAGCCTCTTATATTAAAAATTCCAACTATCCACTTGCATTGGTGACTATATGGCCACTGAAAGTAAAAATTTGGGGTATATTTGCTATTAGTTTCATGCTATATCCGAAGATTATTTGTTGTGAAACTTTGGCCAGAGTTAATAACAACCCATCAATAGAAATTACACCTCTTATCCTAAATGTCAGGGCATATTGTAAACTGGGCCAGGCGTGTCAGAGGACAACATCCTTGGCATAAAATGCTCACTCTAATATGTCACATACTTTAAAAACACCCAAGATCCAGACGTTCTAGAGGCTAACCTGATTGGATGGCTGAATTCTTGCATTAAGAATATGGTAATCATTTCAAAAATAGCAAAGGCATTATTTGTATGTTGCATATTTTCCATTCCTAGGTTCTTTGCATTTCAGTTTTTGAGGGTTTTGTACCAAGTTTAATAGGAAGTAAAGATAGCTGGGAGTTTTCAAAATGCTAAGTAGAGCGTCTTCTGTTTGACTTCACTGATGAAGAAGACAGAAAACAATCACAAGCTGGACATGAGGAATCACTAGAGTAGGTATTTGTTCTGGTTAATGAATGGAAAAGTCCTTTGTTTCCATTTCTGGAAGGAGAGAAAACTGTCCAGGAAGTTTAAGAATTTCTTAAGTAGATACTTTGATACAGGAGAATAACTTGCTCATGATTCTGCAGAAATGCAAATGAAATCCAAGTAGAAAGTAGTTGTCTTTGAATGAAGAGAAGGAGATTTTGTTTTACCCAGTTTTAATCAGCAAGAGAAACCGGTGCTGCAAGAATGTGGTTTTGTTTTTTTGTTTTTTTGTTTTTTTTTAAATGAGGTTTCTTACTTTGTCTTTTATACTTTGGTTATGTTTTTGTTTTTGTTTTTTACTTGAGAAGTCCTCCGTAGTGTCAGATAATACCGACCTACCAGCACAGAACTCTCAGTTCCCTTATTTTCCTACAGGAGCAAAGAGCTGTGAAAAAAACTACTTTTCTGAGCCTGTTTGGCTTCTTTATCACAAACACGTGTTTTGCAAGACAATAGATTGTTCGCTTAGGGCTCATGTTTTTTATTCTGCGTGTCCTATGGGAAGATCAAATCTCATGTTCTAAAGTGTTTCTCAAATATTTATCTACACTTCCCTTAAATCTAACTAAACTTCATATTGTTCTTTTAAAGTATATTTCCTAGTCTGTTTTTCTGCCTTCCATAAATAGTAACTACAGATTTTGTAATTCCAGTTTTTACATTCCATATCTTTCTCGTATAACTATTCCCACTCAACCTTAAGTCTTAATCTTTCTTTTTTGGCAGCCACTTTTGGAACCTCCTACATGGTCTTCTAAGTCAGCATTAGTTTTGAAATTACTGGTCTGGAGTAAGTTCTGCATAGCATCTAATGTCAAAAGAGAACCAGCTAGCAATAGCAGTATGAATTTAGTTTGGTTTTTGTGGCAACAAAAATGACATATGAAGAAAACTGTCCTCAGGTCACTATGCTGGAATTCCAAAATGTGTTGAGTTTTGAAGAATAATCACTTTTTCTGGTATTGAAGCGATTATGTTAGGAAAAACGTTGATTGTTTTTGTTTAACTGGCTTTTGAAATAAATGTTTGAATTGTATATTTCTAAACAGTTTACTCAATGCCTAGTGCAGTGAAACATACTCTTGTTTAAGAGGGCGTTGCTAAATTTTTTATTGTCGTTACTAAATAATCCATGTGGCAAAGCGTGTGCCGGCACTTTCCTCCCTTTTTTACCTCCTATTTTCAGGAGTCAATTGTAGCCATAAGCCGTATCCTGGTCTGACACTTTAGCTAAAGTTTCTGGTTAGGGGAATTCATTGCCAAATTAAATTTGGCGGTCCTTTCCCCCACCCGTATACGTAGATGCTAAGGAAGTTAAAAAGTTGTTTGGCCTACTTGTAAAACTCAGTGTCATTAATCCGTGTGTGGACTAGTGATGAATAGATATTTTCATAAAAGTTTAAATGCTGATATTTGGTGGAAGTAGAGAGTAACTCATATTCTGTCAACTCATGTATTTTTCGGATGGTTGCACACACCCCCCCCCCTTTGTTTGGTGGACTGATAATACTGGAATCTATAAAGTTTGAGCCTTTACAACTTAACATGGAGAAGTGTTTTGAACATTTCTGGACAAATTCTATTTTGTATTTCCGGAAGAATGTAAATAATCTTCTAGGCCACTTACAACCAATGGTCCCAAGTTGAGTGTTCTTGAGAAACGTGTTTCTTTGTAGGCCATCTGACATTTCAAATCAGTGAGCATATTCCTGCAGTGTTTAAAACATCTCCATAAGCTGTGACACAACGGTATTTTCTTGCTCTGTGGAGTGTAACTCATGTGCATATAATCACTTGAATATTCTTTGAGATCACTGACATGCTGAGGCAATTCCCACTGATATAGATATGATATAATCTCATTCGGGAGGCTTGAAACATTAATGGTTGAGTCTTGTGAATTTTAACAGTTCTCCGTCATCGTTTAAGAAAACTGACAACTGGCACAACTTCTTAAGCTGCGGTTTCAGTCTCTGCTAGTTCATGCTGCATGTTTATTTTGGACAGTCTTTTGTTAAGCATGGTGCTTGTACTGGTTTAAATAAAATGTTAACATGAAAAGACTGTGAGCTTTTCATTTGTATCCCCCCCCCCAAGGTACTAATACCTGCCTGGCTCAGTTTATATGAGCCACACACATGGCCTCGGCAGTTTACCTTACCTGGAAAAACTGGGAAACAAATAAGAATCACTTAGCAACTTGGGGGAAATGGAATATAATAAGATTATGAAAATATGTAAAACTCAGTCTAATGATAAAATGATTGCTTTGTAGAAAATATCAACAAATAGTACCAAGCACAGAGGGAGTTATTTCAAATTATGAACCCTTTGAAAGGGAAAATTAGAAATTTGGAGGTATGTATATTTCTGAAGAAATCAGATTGTTTTGTTTTCTATTCAGATGTACTTAGTTTCCAAAAAGTCAGGTTAGAGGTTTCTATTAAATATTATTTATCATACTTATTAAACTTGGAAAATCCATTTTTTACAGGCTATATGTTTAAAAGGTGTCTATTGGAATGCACAGAAATCACTAATACATGTTTTAGTTAAGACTACCAAGTATTTACAGTTAAATATGTAGTAATAGTCACTGATTGGATTGTAAAGGAGTCCTTTAGACCTTCCTGTCCTGCAGAGTGTCACATGGAGAATATAAAGTATAAGAAATTTACTCCTCAAATCTGGCCACTTTAGCTGCTTCAGCATCTAAATGCTAAAAATGTTCTCCATCCCTAGAAAATATCTTTGCTTTTTGTCCTTTGCGCTCTTGAGCAGTGGAAAGCATTGAGCACCTGCCTCACTGCTCGGCCCTCCGTCCTTGGTACTAGGGTGCACCCTAAGTGGCTACTGTACCCACAGCTGTGATGTTAGCCACGTCAGGGAGCCAATCAGCTGACAGACATGCTGAGCATCAGGGAGTTTTCACGTTGACACTCCTCATCCTTGGCTTGCTCTCTGCTCTTCAGGGTTGTGAAAGCTTCCTGCTGAAGTTGCCCTTTTTGAGCTCTAGGAAGGAAAAAGCAGCCTAGGTTACATCCAAAAGCTGAGGGAGATGGGTGCCTGTGTGTGTGTACATGCCTGTGTGTGACCTCTTCAGTCTCAACACAGCTGAGTGCAGATTCTCTTCCTCCCAGAAGGTGAACAGTTACTAGGTAACAAGGTTTGAAAATAAGCCCTGACTCTGTACTGTGCTCCAGACACTGCCCAGGGTCCCTGAGAAGCCAATGTAGGCAGCGGCTCTGCTTGGTGAGGTCCTGACTGCTGGCTCTGCCAGTGGCTGCACAGTGATGGGGACTCTACATCCTTTCCTGTGGGCCCCGAAGTTCTCTAGGGCATCCCTGTGGCCATGTCCTCCATAGTTCATGGAGTTGGACCTGTGGAAGTAACACTGCATGGACATGTCAACGATTTTTCATCTGTGTCTTCCGGAGGGGCGGCCTGAGCCTCACTGTGTGAGCACAGTTCCTGTGGCCTAGGAGTGGCAATGGCCAGAGCACAAGGCGGCTCTGGACGCTGTTCTGCCATGCTGCCCTATGTTATCAGTGTCTGTGGGGTCCTTCACTCTACAGTTGGCTTCATGGATGGCATCTGGTTTCCTTCTCTTGCACCCAGTCTCCTTATCAGCATGTTCTCTCCCATGTCATTCACCTGTGCGTGCATTCATTCATTCATTCATTCATTCATTTGTGGTACTGGGGAATAAACCCAAGGCCTTCACATTGAACTACATCCCCAGCCCTTTGTTTATTTTTTATTTTGAAGCAGAGATTCTCTAAATCACTAAGTTGTCCATTCTGGGCTTGAACTTGGGATCCTGCTGCCCCCACCTCCCAGAGTGGTCTTTTCATTCTCTACAACATGACCAGGCTGAGAAATTACCAGGTAAGATTCTAATGAGGGACAAATCACTTCTCAGTCTGCACTGCAGGTTTCCCCCAGGAATGCACACTTGGAACTGAGGGAGCAGAGAGAGAGGCAGGGAAGGAAAGCAAAAGACAGTAAAAGTATCAATGTCAGACTAAACCGACTTTTATCACCTTACAAAAGCATGCATAATTCTTTAATACTTAAAATGACCAGCAAAGCTACGCGCCACAGGCTTCCTCCATAGATAGGGAAGGAATCAACCAAAATGTCAGCAGATTTCTCTAGGATGTAGAATTTTTTTCTTCGTTTTGCTTATTTATATCTTCTCATTTTTCTCTAATGATATACTAGTTTTTTAGTTAAAGGGTTTTTGTTTTGTTTTGTTTAAGGACCGTTATATTTAGTTCAACAAACAGCAGCCTTTGTGGTTTAAAAGGCATTTGAGATGATTTTCGAAGGCTGTTGATCTGGGCAGGCAGCAGAAGTGTGGGAAGGAAATGCTTTTGCTGGTGGAAGAAGATGAAGCCAGGCCGGGTTTGTAGGTCAGGCTGGAGCTGTGGACGCCTAGACAGTAATTAGCATAAGTGTAGTCAGAGTCGGAGCAGTGGCAGATGGAACGCAAGGTGGTGTGGTAGTCAGGCACTTTTTGTGCATGAAAGTCAACAGATCCCCCAAAAAGTAAGGTAACAAAAACAAAAGCACCCCCTCAAACAACAAAGTCATTCTGCTCCTTTCATGCTTTGCTTAGAGATTTCCTCTGCTCAGAACCTAATCACATGTTAAGTTCTATCTTCCACCAAACACAGGGACACAAATACAATTCCACCAAGTTCTTTGTCACTTTATAACAAGAGGCCTCTCCGCCTGTTCCCAATCACAAATTCCTCTTTTCTGAGACCGTGTCCCCTATCAACTTCTGACCATGGCCATTTAGATATCCTCTGAGGAACTCGAAGCTCTCGGCCCCCATCTTCTGCACCCTTGCCAGTGTGGTGGGCTCCTTTCACATCGAGGGACCTCAGAGCTCATCCAGGCTTTCCCTGTAGCCAGTCCCAAAGCTACCTCCCCATGTTCAGTAATCTGTTAGAGCGCTATTCCATTTTTGGTACCAAGTCATGCTTTAATGTGTTTGGGGGTACTGTCACAAAATACCTTAGACTGGATAATTTATAAATAACAGAAATTGATTGTTCATCATTCTGGAGGACAGGAGGTCTAAGATCAAGGCAGCAGAAGACTTGGAGAGTGAAGATGGCAACTTCGATGTTTCCCCATATGACAGAAGAGGCAAGGGGCCCCAAAGGTCACATCTGCTAATGCCTTCACATTGGGTGTTAGGTGCTACCATAGCCATTTTGGAGGGCCATGTGTGGCACACAGGGACCATATCTGCCCCCTGGAACTTGTATCTCTTTGCCTCATCTACCAGGAAAGTTATACCTCATTCCTTCTGCCGTCTGGGTTACTTCTCTCCACAGGCCCTTCTAAGCATCTCTGATCTTACTTTATCCCATTACCCTAACCCACTACCCTGACACCTTGCTGGGCTGACTTTGTTCTTTTTTCTTCCTGGGAAGACTGCCCGCTCGCCCTCTACCTTACCCCAATATTCTCAACTGGGCACACAGCCTGCCTCCTCTGCTTTCCCATCCCATGGTAAGCAACCAATTCATTCACCTGCTTGAATTCTCAGCATAGCACTCACCTCTCTCTAATATTTTTCTAATTTTCCTACCTGAGGACTCTCGTGGAACCGTGTAGCATTTTTACCTGTATTTCTGTTACCACATGTTTGCAGTATACAATGGTTACATTCACCAAGGGGAGCCCATACATGTGTGTAACACATCTTAATTCTTTTTTCAGCTCTATGCCCTTCTCTCCATCCCTCTCCTTTCATCTCTTGATCCCCTCTTTTGTAAAAGATCTCTGTGATTCCCATTATTTATCTCTTGCATAGCTCATATAAGAGAAACCATGTGTTATTTAAGCTTCTGTGTCTGATTTACTTCACGTAATATCACGGGCTCAAGGTGTGTCCATTTTCCTATAGTGACTTGTGAGTTACTTGCGAAAGCTGCTATTTCTGTTTCCTATCAAACTTCTCTGTTTTCCTCTGGTTAGAAAGCTTCCTTGATGACAGGATTGTTATAATACACTAGTCACTTAACTATCTAAAGCGCCTTTTCTATCACCAGAATCCAGTTCTGTTCATTTTTAAATGTAATCTCATAATTCAGAATTGTTCTTCTCGACATGGGCTAACGGCTGTGTGTAAGCGGGTGAGGACACACCTGTCTGCACACCTGCTATCTTATCCTGCCGTCCTCTCCGGGCACGGAAGGAGATGAGTTGAAGACCATATAAATATCTGTGTGTTGCTGTCGGCCAACTGCTATTCTTTTGGGTGCCATTGTGTCTGTTTTAAGTGCCCAATGTGGAGGGAAGGGGGTTCTTTCCAACTATCCAAATGATGGCTCTTTCCAAGGAGTCGTTCATGGACTCTTCAGTTGGCTTTCCACGGCTTTTTCAAAATTAATCTTCCTATAACTTTTGCTGTTCTTAGATTATTGATCATCTTTTCACATTTCCTTTCTTTTTCTATGTAGCCATTGCTTTATTTTTCCTGAGTACTTCACAGACTGGTCAAATGCCCAGCAATTTTTCTGAACAGTTCAACACACAAGATGATCTGTTTATTCATCTCTATCCCCTTGGAGCCCTCCCTCCCCGCTCTCCATCCCCCTCTTGAAATCTGGCCCAGTTACTCTCTAGGCATGAGGCACAGCTGCCATCTAGAAGCTTCCTTTGCTTGCTTCTTAGTTGGATCCCTTGTGTTGGGTCCCATGTATTCACTTGTGCACTAACTCATTTTGCGGGAGCTCATGTTGGTTGGGAGCTCAGCATTTTAATTCTGAAATGCTTCTCCTCCACACGCGGGTGGGTTGGAGATTTGGCTGGGGTGCTGGCTATTTTCATTCTACCTGTCCAGAACCCCTTTCTACCCTTCTCCATTCTGGTCTCTGCTCCCAGCAGACTGGCCTCAGGAATCATCTCATCTACTTCCCTGTCTTCTGATTTCTGCTTCTGTTCAGCCAAGCTAGGTGACAACATTCTACTGAAGTCATTGTTCCACTCCCAAGGTCCCTCTCTGCAGGACAGCTTCCTCCTCAATCCTGGTAACCACC